GTAAAAAAAATTAACCCTGGGTTGATTTAGCATATGCTTCTAAAAAATGGTCCCAGATTCTGGAACTGTAATAAATTAAATGGAAACTCCCTGGGTTTTCTATGCCTTTCTAAACTCCTGTATTTGAATGTTGATCACGTTTTGTATTAAAGTGGCTGACACGTGGGTACTGTTACTGTGCAAGGCTTGCTTTCTTTTTTTCTACTTCACACAACCTGTTAACCTTCTCTTTAGTGGTTAGTTGCCTTGGGCACAGAGAAAAGTCTCCTGTCTCTCTGCTACCTCCCCTCTGGGCCTGGAGAATCGCTTTCCAAACAGATGCCTTTTTCCAATGGGCACCGTGAAGAGTAAACTTGAATTATATTAAGCGTGCCATAGCATCTCTGTGTCCAGGGCCCCTCCTAGACCTTTACGTCTGGCCTTGTGCCTTACCTGTCTATTGGAAGTGTTGGCACAGAAACACTGGCGTTTTAAGCTGTGACTTCAGTTCATGGAAGTTATAAAACAGTGCTGGCACAGGCTTGCTCCCTGCCAGTTACGGTGGCTCCCGGTGCCCCTCCCTTGAGTGTTGGTGCAGCCCAGGAAGTATTTACATGGGAGGCTTACTCACTTCTAAACTTAGTTTAGAGAGGCCTCCACAGCCCCAGCCTTTCAGGGGTGAAGGTGTATTTGCCCTCCCAGCAGTAGGCAGTCCAATGGACAGGTTGGTCTCCCTGCTGGTGCCTTGCCAGAGGTGCTGAGATTCAACTCTGACCAAATACCTGGGATACTTGCCGTCTGGGGTGATTAGCCTTCTGTGGGGGTGGGGGCACAGCTTAATGGAAGGTAAGGATTCTAGCAAGGGGACAATTGTCCCTTTTAAAGTCAGAAAATTTCAGGAGAGCCTGGAAGTCAGTGTGGACACCTGGTGATGTGATCCCTTAGACTGATAAATGCTAAAGCAAGCAGGGACTTGATGCTGGTCTTTGTAAGAGGCAACCACTGTGGGGATTGCATCGCAAGATGATGGGCTGTTCATTTCTCATGGACATGGCCAGTTGGTAGAAGCTTCATTGTAGGGAACCCCGTTGGCTGAATCAACAATTGTCCAGATTGGGGGTTAGACTGGTGGTTGCTTGCTTGGGGAAGAAGGGAGGGACTGATTGCAGGGTGTCTGCTGTCTCCATAAGGCTGCAGGTAGAGGGGACTAGAGAGATGGCTCAGTCAGGACTGTGCCACAGGAGCATGAGCACCCACATAGCCTGGGGCTGGGAAGGCAGAGACAAGGATCCCTGGGACATACTGGCTAGCCAGTCTAGCTGGTTAGCAAGCTCTAGATTCAGTGTGAGACCCTGTCCCAAAAGTTGAGGGGAGCTGGAGAGAGTGCTCCGTGGTTAGGAGCACCTGCAGCTCTTAGAGTGGACTGGGCTCATTTTGCAGTGTCCACGTACATACACCCATCTGTAACTCTAGCCTGGCCTCTGGGCACTGCATGCATGGAGGCAAAACACAAAATAAATGAGGTGGGACTCACAAGATGGCTCAGCAAATACACTCCATCAAACCTGGAGAAATGAGTTTGATCCCTCAAACCCATATGGTGGAGAGGATTGACTTCCATAAGTTGTCCCCTGGCCTCCACATGCATACCATGGCCTTCTTGTCCCCTTCCCTTAAAAAAAAAAAATGTAAAGCAAAAATAAGGTAAAGAGCAGTTGATTGAGGAAGACTACAGTGATTTGGGCTTCCACACATTCACATTCATGAACTTGCACCCATAAAATGAAGCACACATCTTAACCGATGCCAAAATACTACTGATATTTGAGAACTGAAACTGAGGACGTCTAATCCAGCCATGTTCCAGTCTAGTGAGCTGCTCCCTAGCCAGAGCCCAGAAAGTGCCCATCAAGTGCTCCAGGCTGATTGTCCAGGCTGACTGTCTCCACTTAAGGGCCATGGCCCCAAGGTTCTCTTCTGAGAGGTTCTGGCTTTCCCCATGACCTCCGGTAGTCTGAGATCTACTCTTGGGGGCAAAAGCGTCCAATCTGAGCCAGGTCTACAGAGGAGCACTGACCTTCCACTCCCAGGATGACTGACCATCCCAACTGAGGTCCTCTGCCAAGTAGAAGGTATCCAGCAGTTCTGATCTCTGTAGGCAAAGGCTGTCCACTGCCCCCAGAGTCCAATAGCAGGAAGTGACCATTGGTGTGGAGACATTGTTGAAGTTGCTGTCTCTACACAGTTCATGGGGGTGTTCACACAGCCCAGGACTGGAGGTAGTACTGTGTATGCAAAAGGGGATCAGCTATTCAATTGTTTTTCAAAAACAAAATTTCATATTTGTTTCAAATTTCAGAATGTTTCATAACCACCATAGTAAAAATATTTTGATTTGTGAAGTGTCATTGAGGTAGAATTACAAGTCCAGCAAACAGGAAGGAGACTTGTCTCCTGACACTAACCTTAATGATTGACTTGTTTTCACAACTGCAGCTTACGGAATGTTCACCTGTTCTGAGATCGGGCATCTTGGGTCCATAGTCATGAAAATGCACATTTAATAGTTTAATAAGGAGGGGTATCTTTTAAAAATTACTGGAGATTAAGCCGGGCGGTGGTGGCGCACGCCTTTAATCCCAGCACTCGGGAGTTCGAGGCCAGCCTGGTCTCCAAAGCGAGTTCCAGGAAAGGCGCCAAGCTACACAAAGAAACCCTGTCTCAAAAAAAAAAAAAAAAAAAACCGCTGGGCGGTGGTGGCGCACGCCTTTAATCCCAGCACTCGGGAGGCAGAGCCAGGCGGATCTCTGTGAGTTCGAGGCCAGCCTGGACTACCAAGTGAGTTCCAGGAAAGGCGCAAAGCTACACAGAGAAACCCTGCCTCGAAAAACCAAAAAAAAAAAAAAAACCAAAAAAGAAAAAAAAATTACTGGAGATTTGCAGTTAAGCCACACACACACACACACACACACATACATACACACACACACACACACACAGTGTTTTTTCCCCACCATCCCAGCTTAGGTCTTTGGTCATTAGCGAATGCTACCCCAGTGCAGTAATTGGGAGGGCATCCCGAGTGCACATCCTACATCTTGACTCTAATTTCCTGCAAATTAAGCAGTTGGAGCTGTTCTTGAATATCTTGACTTTCTCAGCCTCGCCTTAGGAATCAGAGCTAATGTTAATGGTATATGTGTGCATCTGCATGCCTGTGCACACGTGTGGGGATGTGGGAGGCTTTCTGGTGTTGAGAAATATGTCACAAGTTTCTCTGAGGTGGGGCAGGGGACCTTTGAAAAGGTTTAATGTCTACTGACAGAGAGGTTTTGGGGTGCTGGTAATGGAGGGTGGGCATATTTGGTGGAGCTTGGATTTTTTTTTTTTTTTCTTGGATCATTAGCAGACAGGGAAACCAGTGGTCTGGAGAGAGCCAGCAAGCCCTCCCGGGGAGGGTGCAGGCTCGGGTCTCAGCAATCTGGGGCTCCCCTCGGCAGGAAAACAGTCTTGATCCAGAGAACTATTGATCCTCAGCCACCTTCTTCCTGCTGGCTGGGCCTCTTGCCTTGTGCAGGTGGCCTCCACTGTTGTAAGAGTGATCTGTGAGATGGGGAGTCTTAGTGCCCTGCCTGTCGATCCTGAGAGGCTGGACAGACCTGCCTTTGCTCACCAGCAAACAAAGACACGGTTTTCTATGGAGTGGGCTCACAATTTGTGTAGCAGGAGGAGGAAGCTTTAGTAATGGCTCTTCCACCTCGACGCCCATCAGCTGCTTTGGGCCAGCCCAGTGAATGCAGCCACCTCCTCAAGAGGTCTTGTGCTGGGGGATTCTTAGTGGTTCTCCAAAGGCGCTAAGACAGGGAGATCCCTCCTGGTGACAGGTCCGGACACTGGAAGCTGGTGGTCTATATGGAGTGGAGGATTTGTGCTAGACAGAGCCCCTTCCTTGCTTTTACTGCTCTTATCCTGAGGTCAGGCCAGGCAGGTCCTGCCCTCGCTGGCAGCGGTGAGGTCCACTCCATCAGTGTGTGGTCAGAGGCATGCCATGAGGATGACTCTCCCTTTACTGGACTTTGTGGGACTGGAGAGCTGACGACCTCCTGCTGGACCCTGCAACTTCTGTGTTCTTAAAGTTGCCGTTAAGACTTGGCTGCACCAGGCTGAAAGCACTCACTTAAAATTCCAGTCTTGCTCCCCGGGGCTTAGGCATCCAGCTTCTCCTTTAACAAGCGGGGCTGGCAGCCATCAACCCTTACGCCTGGCGACAGGTGTCCTGAGTGGGAGTCCGGGGGCACAGACCATACCGAGCCCCAGGGACCTGGATGTGTTTGAGCTGGACACAGCTCAAAGGAGTGTTTTGGAAAGGGCACATGGGTGGTGGGAAACCACGGGTTTTTCTGGATCAATCATACCCACTGTCACCAGAGTGACCTTCCCTAAGTGCGGAACACATTTTCTTCTGCTCTTTTGAAAAGGGTAGCCTGAAACCGAGGTGGGGTGAGTCCGGTGTGTAAAAGGCTAGTGGGGCAGCTTGTGGTTTACCACCCCGGCTCTCGGGCCCAAGTGCCTTCGCGGGCAGGGTGGCGACCGCTGGCCCTGCATGGGGCGCGCGCGGGTAGCACTGCCTCGCCTCCTCCTGCGCCCGGGCCACCGAGCCCCCGCAGCCAGCTCGTCCGTCGTGTCTCGGCTAGTGCCTCGACGGCTCCCGGACCCCTCCCCCCCCGCGCCCACCAGGCAGCTCAGGACTAGTCCCCCCAACTTGTTCTCTGCTGTTAACTAGTCGCGCTGGCGGAACGATGGGATGGGGTTGCCACAGCAACCAGACTGGACGTCACAATCCGGGCATGTGTGCCGCCCCCCCGCCGTGCCGCCGTGCCGCGGGCGCTGCCGCCGCCACCCTCGGCCGGCTGCGGGACTCGCGCTGCGGGGCGCGGTGGGCGGAGCGGCCCGGGCTTGGCGGGTGCGAGCAGAGGCGGCCGAGAGCTTGAGGGGTCGACACGGGGGGGTGGAGGTTTGGGGGGGGCGGGGGGGCCGGCGGCCGCCATCTTCTCGCCGAGACCGCCTCGCCCGCCGCGCGGGTCCGTCCGGCAGCTCACGGGTTAAGGCTGGCACCGCGCCCGGCGGGAGGGGGGCGCCCACCTCCCCTCCCCCCCCGCACTGGGCATGCGGGGCCCGCTGGGCACCGAGGAGGAGCTGCCGCGGCTGTTCGCGGAGGAGATGGAGAACGAGGAGGAGATGTCAGGTGAGGGGCGCGGGGACCTGCCGGCCCGGGACGCGGGAGGGGCGCCGCGGCGCTGCGGGCTGCGTTCCCGCCCTGCTGGCGCCGCGCGGGCCAAGGGCGCGGGGCCGGGCGAGCTCCGGGGCGCGGCGCTCGGGGCGGGGTGAGCCCGGGACCCCTGGGCGAACCCGCGGCGGGGGCCTGCGCGGGCGGCGAGGCGGGAGGGGGCGCGGCGGCGCCGCCGGGGTCAGCCCGCGTGCCCTTGAAGGCGGCGGGAAGCGCGCGCTGCGGGCGGGGCGAGGACGGGCCGCGCGTGGGGAGCTGGCGATGCCCGAGCCGGGGTGCGCGGGCTCCGACTCCCGGTGCCTGACAGTCGCTCCCCAGCACTTTGCCCAGGCCGCCGTGCGTGCTCAGCGCGCTAGTGCCAGCCGTGTTCCCAGACCACCCCGCCGCCTTGCCTGTGGGCCTGACGCCCCAGGGCCACCGCCCCTGCCCTTGCCAGTTGCTTCTTCGAATTCAGCCTCCATCGTGCGTGCTTGTGTCTCAGGGGTTACCTTGCAGGAGGATTCTTCAGTTAACTGCTCCCGTCCTGGCACAGTCTGGCAGGGCCTCACCCTGTCGGCTGTCCTCCCTCCCTTCTGAGGGGTATCACTTCTCAGCTTCCCAAGTCTATGGCTCCTCCTGGACTTCTGAGGGACTTGTGAGAGGCCAGAAGGTCCTCCTTTGCCCAGGAATCTACATCCCTATGGATGAGACTTTTTCACACACTTGAACCCCAGCTCCCGTTCTTCGGGAGAGAGCAGCACCTCCCAGGCCATTCGGGTATCTTCACTAGGGGCCACACCCCCTGTCCCCAGTTTCCTCTCCTGCGGACTGGCTTGTTTGTTAGTAGATTTAATGCTGTCACTGGGGCCCCCTGCAGGAGCCTGCTGCTCAACCCCTCCCCTTCCATCCAGGCCAAGAGCCTTCCATGGGGTGAGGTTTGCAGAGCTATGGTTTCCAGTAGTTGACTGCTGAATCCCAGGCTGAAGGAATTAGATCCTGTCTCAGAGGGGAAATCAGAGGCCAAGCACATGCCAAGAAACCTGTAGCTGTTTTCTGCCTAGGAGCCCTAACTCTTCAAAGATCCCTGGCGGTGACTGGGGCGTGGTCTTTTGTGGTCCTGACAGGGCCAGTGGACAGCTGAGTGTTATCCACAGCCCTGTTTCTGGGACTTCAGCTATCCCAACAGTGTCCTCTTCTCCTTCCTGCCTGACCTTGCTTGGTCGGAGAGTAGGGCTTGGTGAGGTCTGGAGTGCCCCTAGGATGGTGGACACCCAACTTCATTGTTGGGGCTGTAAGGGTTCCTCCTAATCTGTGCCTTCCCTTCCTTCCCTGCAGGGCAGGCAGGGGACTGTTCCCCTGGGGCCTTCAGGAGCACTTCCAAAGCCACGTGAAGGAGACCCTGCTCCTGTCTCTGGCTGGGAATTCTGGGCCCTGTCCATCAACCACTATAAAACTACTTTGTCTCCAGAGCCTTCCGGGGCTCCAGCACCTTTCCAGGTCCCTGGTGTAAGCTTCCATCCCCTCCCATGGCCCCTGCAGAACTTCCCGGCCAGTGGTCAATGACCTTCCCTACTTAGAACCAGACCATTGGTCCATCCAGTCTTCCCAGGGCTGCTTGTTCACACACAGCCTCGCTGGGCTCTGATTCCTGGTGTCTGCTGACAGTATTTCTATGGGAGACTGCAGGAGGTGCCCTGTCCTTGGGCCCTGGTTCTGACCTCTGCTTGGCTCCTGTCTTTTGCTCACACGTTTGTTCTGTTCATGTAGGTCCCAGCTCCAGTGCATTATGGGACACCCCCTTTCACCCTCAGCGCAGAGTCTCAGACCCATTTCAAGGGGTTATTTGCTTGTAGCACTTCCTGTTCTCTGGAACCTTGTTATTCCTCTGTCAGTACCACCCCTCCCCCCAGTGGAATCCCTAACTGCAATTTGGAGGGACACTTGGAACTGAGGGTACCCGAGAGATTGTGTCTAATGGTGAGGGAGTTTCGAGGTCACCCCTGGCTCCCTGCATGTGGGGACAGTCCTATCCGGGTCCTCATGTCTGTCTGCAGTGTGGGGCCCTGGCCTACTAGCTGCCCCTCATGGCCCTTTGCAGCTTGCAGTGGAGCTACTCTTAGCTGAGGAGGTCATGAAAGTGACCTCTTAGGCCCCTGGAGCCTGGGAGGAAGAGCCAGTGTTCTTGGAAGACTTCACACTAATTCTCAACCGGCAGCAGCTGACCTTTGGGCAGTTTGCTTCCTACACGGGGCTTTTCCTTGGCCAGTTCTCTCCAGCTTTGTGGCTGGGGGGTGAGTCTGCCGTGAAGAGGAAAGTGGGGTAGGCTCCCATCTCTTCTGGCTTAGAGATTGGCAGCTGCCAGGTTCCCAGGGGAGTGTGCTGGTCAAGGGGAGAACTTAAATCCCGGCCTGTTCTTGTTAGCCCCGTGGTCTTGGGACAAGCCCCCCAACCCTCTGCCTCAGTGTCCCCACTTGTAGAATTAATCCAGCGGCAGCTACCTCATAGAAGGCCATTATGAGGCCTCGTGGGATAGTACACGTAGAACATTCAGTCATAGTGCCCAGCACATCACACACACAGCAAACCATGGCAGGTGTAATTAGCACCATCCAAAGCGGGTAGCCGTCCTGCCTCCCCAGGAACATGCTTCTGAGACTTGCCCTCTCATCTAGTAAGTGTCTGCTGGGGACCCGGGCTGGAGACAGGATGGGAGTGAGAAGCCCGAGGAGGGGCTGAAGGCAGAGAGTGAAGGGCCTGGCCCTCAAGGCTTTTCCTCAGAGGTGGGTTCTGCTGAGTTGGAGGTCTCCCTGCCTGGCTAGCCTAGTCCTTTCTCAATCACTGTGAGCCCAGACTCTCTTTTGGCTGGATAGGGTAGCTACTGTGGTCCTAGGGAGACTTGACTGGTTCCTGTCTCTGCTCACGGATCTACCTCTACCTTAGCATCCTAGGCTTCTTAGGTTCAGAAGGGAGGAGAGAATGACTGCCATGATTCCCAAAGGCCCACGCTTTCTAAGCTTGACCCCATGGAGTGGGGATGTTCCAGGGAGCCTGACTGTATTGAACACCCACCCAAGCATCTAATTATCAATCCACAATACCAACCAATTAGCCATCCTGCCATCCACTCATCCATCATCCTTCCATCCGCCAGCTATCTAACACTCGCCATTCATCCACCTATCCATCTGCCATCTACCCATTCTTTACCATCCATCCACTATTCATCTACCCATCCACCTGCCACCCATCTGTCCACCAGCTCTCCATCCGTATACCCGCCACGCTGCGTGTCCATCCAGTCATCTACCATCTTTGTCCACTATACCCACCCATTATCCATCCACCTCTTTCCTTCCGTCTGCCCAGTCCATTCCATTTTCTACCATCTCTCCGCCCACCTGGTCAACACAGATTTCTTGAATATCTTTGACCCAAGTACTGAGCAGTGTATCTTAACTTTCTGGGGACCTTTTTTTTTTTTTTTTTTTTTTTTTAGGTCTCACTATGTAGCTCTGGCTGTTCTAGAACTCACTCTGTAGCCCAGGCTGGCCTCGAACTCACAGAGATCCTCCTGCCTCTGCCTTCCGAGTGCTGGGATTAAAGGCGTGCGCCGCCTCACCAGGCTTCTAGGGGCTCTTGCAGAGGAACTTCTCAGACTATTCCGTCTCTGTCATTCTGTCTCTTTCTCCTGCTCTGTCCCCTCCTCAGTCTTTATCTGCTCTGCCTGGCATCCCTGCCTCTCCCTTGTCCCTTGTCCCTGTCCTCCCATGCCTCCATGTCTTCCTCTCCTTGCCTCTTTCTTCCCACCCACCCATGCTCCGCATCTGACTGGAGGTTTCTCCCTGCTTCCCTGGGTCGTCCTCACTCTCCAGGTCCCAGTCACTTAGGGTAAGAGACCCCCCCCACACCATTCCTCTTCTCCCCTTGCTTCAGGACTGCTGCCCGCTTTCTTTTATGAGAGGCCAATGAGGTGATGTCTGGGTTTTGTTAAATGTCATAAATAAATTATTAATTACCTCTTGGGTTACGGTAGCACTGCTCTGGGTCGGCTGAGGGCCTGTGCCATGGGGGGAGGTTCAGAGATTAGTGAGAACTTCAGTTAGGCTTTTCCTTGCCCAGAAGTCCTGGCCCCAGAATACCTCCACCCTGTGACCCCTCCTGGGTTCTGTTTGCATGACTGAGCTGCACCCAGCATTGGAGTCTCGTGTTTACAATTCCGAATCTCTCCATTGCCCAGGAGGAAGGCTGCAGCTTGAAGCTCATTTCACAGATGAAGAAATGGCTAGTGGGGGAGGCTTTAGGGCCCCTGGTCAGGAAGGGGTGTTGGTTTGAAGCCGGTGTGCTTCCCTGGCCCTCTCCCCTCCTGACCACTAGATGGCCCTGTTCCCTACTTGGAGATGGGTTGGGGGCTGGAAACAGAAGGAGCCCCTACTCCCTGGGTTCTGGGAAGGATGGTGGACTAAGCTGGGTCTCATCATTGCTGATTTACTCCTGAGACTTTGGTGATGGAGGCCTTGTCCCAGCTCCTGCCTCTGACCCCTTAGTCCTCCTACTCAGTGACTCAGATGACATAACTTCTACTACAGCCCTGTTGGAAAAGCTTCCTGGCATCTTGTTCTTCCTCAGAGGAGGCAGGGCCTGGAGCCTGCAGGATTTCACCCTGGGTGTAGGTTTCTGGATCTGTCCTGATTTGCCCCCCACCTCCATCTCTCAGGCTCTGGCAATCCTGATCCAGAGCCGGCCTTAGCCACTTCAGTGGTCCTGGGGTACACTCCTGAGCTTGGCACACAAGGGCACACTGTTGAAATACTGGGCTCTGGCAGGTCCAAGGCCTGGAGGGCGGAGCTAGGGGAGGGCTCACATACTGGTATGTTGCCACCTGGCTGTAGGGGGACTGAGATGTGGGCAGGTGACGAGGTCCTCAGAGTCCCATATCTGTAAATGGGGGCACTGCAGAGTTTTCTTGTTTCTTCAGGCAAGGCCTTGCTGTGTGCCCAGGATGTCTTTGAACTTTGACATCACCCTGCCTCGGACTGAGATTAGAGGCCCGTGCCACCACCCGTGGCTCAGTGCCACTGCTGTAATTCACTAGCCGGGAAGGGTCACCCGGCTTACCCAGCTGCAGCAGGAGAATGCAGGCCTGAGGGAGAGGGCGTGTGACCAGCTAACAAGGGGCTGGTGGAGATCAGAAAAGACTTTGGAAGTTGTGCCTTGGCCCTGCCGGATTCTGTCCCCCGACCCCCACGCTGTCCCACCCCAAGTCCCCAAAGCAGCCCCCCTTGCTTCTCCTCAGGCCTACTCTGCCTGGGACCACTTAAGACGTGAGGAGTTACCGAGCTAATGGTCCTAATTATAGCTGACTGGGATCGATGGAGCCTCGGGCCTTGGGGCGGGGCGGGGCTGGTGTTTGAGGGTACTGCCGGATGGGCCAGAAGGGCAGTGGGGCAGCCTCCGGGGGCTGGGAATTGGCAGGACAAATTGTTTTATGGGCTGGCTGCCCCCACCCTGAATCCCCTCACTCCAGGGTAGTGGAATTCTATCTACCCCACTGGCCACATGCTCGGGTTTTAAAAACTGCCTCTGACCTGCCCCTGGCAGATGGGGTCGTGGGAAGGAAGCCTGAGACTTGGGCGTGGCTGAGGGTGGGGTGGCTTGGACGGTGACTCCCAAGCTTGATTTTAGAAGGTTCCAGACCTGTTGCTGAAGAGGGGTATGGCCCATTTGGGGAGAGAAGGCTGGAGTGCCAGTGAGGACCTGGTGTGTGGGGTGATGGGTAGGATCCAGTGTCACAGAGGGTCAGGCCTGAGGTGTCCTCAGGGCTACCAGAAGCGAAGTGGGACAGGAAGTGCCTGCTAGAGATAGGCGTGGTCAGAGCTGGGTCCCCATCCTCCTGTGCCAGCTCTGGAAATTTCCTGGAGGAAGATTTATTTATTTATTTTTCTTTTTAATTAATCAGGCAGCCTTGGACTGGGGGGTTGTCTTGTGGAGGAAGAGGGGTGCTGTTTATGGACATGGGGTCTATGTTTGTTCTGGATGAGTTACAGCTAGCCTGGGGGCCCCTTCTTGCCCTCTTCTGTATCCACGAGTGATCACAGGCTTCCTTCTAGAACATTCCCAGCAACCTGTGGACCTCTGTCTCCTGCTGGTCAGTCGGGGAACATGTGCTAGGCTGGCTTCCTAAGTCTGGGGATTCCCCTGCTGGGTGGAGACAGAGGACTGCCCATGGGAGGCAGGAGGGAGAAGGGCCCCCTTGAGATTGCATCAGCCTGGAGCCTGTTACATAACTGGTGTGGAGCACTCCCAGGGGATGAGGTGCTTCTGTTTGGGTGGGTGTCTGGGATGCTGCGAGAGTACACAGGTGTGGATGGGTATCCCGTTGGCCACTGTAGCCTGGCCTCCTGCCATCCTCGGCGTTATTGCCAAGATTCCTTCACTCCAAGATGACACTGAGGGCCTCTCTGTAGATTTTCCCTGCCTCTGGCTCAGAGGAACAGGATGTATTACTTCCAACATCACCGGGTCTCAGCTTGGATTCCTGGCCCATGTAAGCTCAGGTCAGGATTGGCCCTACTACCTACTGTGCTGTGATCTGGAGTCCCGCCAAGACCACAATAGCTGTACCCCCCACAGGGACCCTGCCTTAGCAGTGCCCCTCTCTGTAAGTTGGCATGTACTTCAGTGGTCCTCCAAGGATGACCTGTATTTGGACTATATTCAGGCCGCCTCCTTGTAGCAACTTCCAGTCCTGCCTTGAGTCTGCCTCCTCCTCTCTGTATTTGCTTGCTGCTCTTCTGGGTTCCACTCTTACAATAGGGAGGGGCTGGAACCTTGGCACACTCTGTCCCTGCCCTGGAGACTCCGGGGAGCTGTGTTGGCAGGCAGGGCTTGTCCCTTGGATGGGGTCCTAGTGCTGAGGGGTACCTTGCCCCCAAAGAAGGGTTGTATATATGCAGACTGACAGTGTAGGGTTCAGGAGGGGGATCTTAGCTACTGGAGCCACGAATTGCCTCTGAGAGTGGGATATGTGTGACTGAAGTTAGCCACCATGTATAGGGAACCAGACAGACCCAGTGGGAACCTGTCTTTCACGGGGCTCTGGGCTTGTGTGGGACCTGAGAGAAGCACGTTGCCTCTCTATTCACACATGCAAGGCACAGACTTCTCTCTACTCCTCTGGCCACCCCTAGCCACTCATTGTGCGTAGAACATGAGGTTGGGAGCACAAGGGGCCTGCCAGGGCACCCAGGCTAGGGGCTGGTGAAGTAGGCTTGCTCTCTTGTGGTCTTGGAGCTATTTTATTCTGGGAGCTTCCTTTGCCCCTCTGGGTGGCCATCTCTCTGTCCTTTGCCCTTCTGGGTGGCCATCTCTCTCTCTCTCTCTCTCTCTCTCTCTCTCTCTCTCTCTCTCTCTCCTCTCTCTCTCTCTCTCTCTCTCCCTCTCTCCCCTTCTGGGTGACCATCTCTCTACTCTGGGTGGTCTAGTTACCATGTCCTTCAGATGACCTTTACCACCTCACCTCTGAGGTCATATCTGGTGAATGGGCATATTGGCTTAACTGGGTTTCCCCAGTGGGTAGAAATCAGGCTCCAGCTCACCATGTCTCTCCAGTACAGAAGTCCCTTTTAGGTTGAAAGTGAGCTGGGGCCAACTTAACTTTTCTCCTTTTGGGGTGACATGGAGCCAATAGCTTAAATGACCCCAGACCCTAAGCCCACCCTGCTCCCTCTTGGTCTTTAATTTTAAAAAGTTGTGTATGTGGTGTATAAACCTGAGTGTGTGGGTGTGTGCACATGTGGAAGCCGGAGGAGGACAGAGAGGCTTTCTCTACCACACTCTGCCTTGTTACCTTCAGACAGGATTTCTTGCTGGACCATAGGTCTCCCAGTTTGGCTAGATTGGGTGGTGAGCAAGCTCTCCCCAATGCTGGGCTTCTGGGCATGCTCAGCCATGTCAGGCTTTTGGCCTTTAATTCTTGAAGACAGTGAGGGAATTTGGGACTCATGGGCAATTTCTGGAAAAGCCACATGTGGAATGGGCTTAGCATCCTGCTAGCCCTGTGCATCTAGGTTGGTCATGTGTCTCAATTCCCTGCACAGGGCTGGGCAGGGGAAGCAGTGTAGTCTTGAAGCCCACATTAAGAGGGATCCTATCAAGTCTTGGGATGGGACCGGGTCTCTTCTTGTATTGCATTCATCAGGCATATCTCAGCTATACTCGAACCTCTGGAGATAAGGCTAGGCCTTACTCAGCTTGGCCTCTCTATTGGGCCCCAGCCTTCCCCGGGCCAGATAGCGATGATGACTTTGATGTCCCATGAAGCCACTTCTCCCCCAGGTCAGTAAGGACATCAGATTAGATCCTAGCTTTTGCTTATTGGGTTCAGGAGTAGGTGATTATTTCCTCCTCCTCCTCCTCCTCCTCCTCCTCCTCCTCTTCTTCTTCTTCTTTTTTTTTTTTTTCGAGACAGGGTTTCTCTGTGTAGTTTTGGTGCCTGTCTTGGATCTCGCTCTGTAGACCAGGCTGGCCTCAAACTCACAGAGATCAGCCTGGCTCTGCCTCCCGAGTGCTGGGATTAAAGGCGTGTGCTACCATGGGCCTTATTGTCACTTCTTAGAGAATAGGGAAGGAAGGGCCAGAGAGGGGAGGTGACCTGTGCTGCCCACTAGGTAGATGTGACAGTTGTCACTTGGCCTAGGACTCTGGTCGCATGGCTGTGGTCTGTCACTGTTGGATCTGAGTGGTGTGGGGAATCCCATGGCCTCTGGTTCTGTGTTCCTGGTTCTGGCTAAAACTGAAGATGACCCCTCTCCCTTCCAACCCCCGCAGAAGAAGATGACGGTGGCCTTGAAGGCTTCGAGGATTTCTTCCCTGCAGAGCCCGTGAGCCTTCCCAAGAAGAAGCCTAAGAAACTGAAAGAGAGCAAGTCCAAAGGCAAGAGGAAGAAGAAGGAGGTGAGGCGTGGGGTGTGGTGGGCTCGACCTTGTGTTTGCGTGATGACTTGTGGAGGAGTCATGCAGAAGTCCCCCAAGATGGAAATGGCATGTTCTGCTTCTTAAGATGGTTGGAGGGTCAGCTGTCCTTCTGTCCTGAGCGGGAACACCAGGATGCTCTCTCTCACTGGTTGGAGTCTCAGCCTGGCCCTGGGCAGTGTTGCAGTCTGCCCTCTCTCTGGCTGCTCTGTAGGAGCCTCTGTCTCCTCAGTGAATCCTACTGAGTGCAGAGAAAGTCAGTTCTGGTTCTGATGGCTCTGTATTTGAGATGCTGGGACTCTCTCTGTCCGCACTATCCAGAGGAGGAAGTGGAGGCAGGATGTGGGAGCGGGCCCAGTGCTTGGAGCCTCCCTGTTGAAAGCAGTGCTGGGAACCAGCTCTCTTGACATGAGCCCCAGAATCTCCTATGGCAGCCACTGCCTCCTTCTGATAACAGCCCTTGGCCCTGCAGATCTGTCCATGGCAGGGCAGTGGAGAGGTTCTGGGAGGCCCTGGGACCCAGGTCCCCAGACTTTCTGCTTGAGGCTGTGAGGTCTCACTCTGGTGTCACTGTTCTCAGACTCGGTTCCTGGGCCTCATGGCAGAGGACAGGGGCCACCTCTACTTGCTCTCTAGTGTCAGGCCATGCACTGGGACCATCCACTTGCCCAGCCGGGTTCCCAGGGGTGGGGTGGGTGGAGAGCTTTCGTTCTAAGCAGGACTGGCTTTTTTCTCAATCCTTCCTGGGCACAGGGTCGACACCACTCTGGCTAGGAAGGAGGCTAGAGGTAGGGAAGGTGTGGAGCTGTAGGGCTGGGGGGGTGGGTGTCTGGTGGCCTCCAAGGCCAAGGAAGGCTGTTTTTTTTTTTTGTCTCTTCCCGGGACCACAGTCACAGGTGAGGATGTTTGTTTTCTCTGTACTGCCTTCCTCTAGTTCTGTCAGGCTCTTCCTCTGGCTGTGTTTCTTTCCTCCGCCTTATTAATCTCTCCTCTCCATGTCCTCTCCCTCCCCTTTCCTCATTTCCCTCCCTTCTCTCTTCCATTCCCTCCTTCGCCCCTGCCTCTGTCTCTCCTTGAGATGCAATGCTCCTTCTTTAAAAGGATTTCCAGATGCTGAGCACCAGAGGTGACCCTTGGACTAGGGGTGCTCTCTCCCCCTTTATCCCCGCCCCCCAGAGCTTGGCTCTCACCAGCTGCAGGATCTGGGGTGGGGATGGCAGTCTATAGCGTGCTATTTACAAAGAGGAGGATCTGTCTGCCCACCCACCCACCCTGCAGCCCTAGATCATGGTGTGGGAATCTCCTTCCTCCCCAACCCCACCACCGCATCCCCCACCAGGTGACTCTGAGGCGCAGAGGGGGCCGGAGCAGGTGGGCTCTAAGCAGTGGTTTGGGCGGGGGTTGGGGGGAGTGACACAGGCAAGCAGCAAGCCGTGGATTCTGATTTACATAAAATAACCGGGCTGCAGCCGGAACCTGAGCATATGTAGATGAAGCTCCCTGTCAGACCGGAGCGCAGGAGGGAGAACTGATTTCAACCTGTGCTGCAGCGGTTGCCATAGCAACCAATTATTCAGTGCTAAATTATAACTGTTTATAACGCTGGTGAATGGGAAAGGCTCACATTTCATTCTTTCTTTTCCCTCTCAGTCGTGAAGGACCCCAAGTCGAGAATGACCAACTCCCTGAGCTCTCCCTTTGAGTCTAAACGCTCTCTTTTTCAGGAGATGTGTGTGCTGGGCATAGAAGGGCAAAGAGTGAGACAGGAGGCCTGGATTCAGAAACCGCGGCGTGGGGAGGAGGAAGGCGGTGTCGGACTGCCTACTGGGGACCCTCCAGCCGTGGCTGGTATGCTGTGTCCTCAGCAGGCACAGGGGCTCCCAGCAGAGACCCCTCTTTGCCCTCAACCTGGGTGTGGCATCTGAGGCGCTCTGCGTGTGTCTGCTAAGGTTCTCCTCACGCCACTAGTGCCCCACGTGCAGTCACACCCGGGGTTGTCTTCACCAAGGGCAACGCCAAGGTTAAAGGCCCGGCTGCCGTTCTGATTTTCACAGCCTGTTATGTGCTTCGGTTTCTCTCAGGACCGAGGTTGGTTTGTGGCATTTATTAGACTTACTGGTCTGTGTCTCCTTCCTGAATGGGGTGTGGCCCACCTCCTCATCCCCCGGCCCATTTCTTTAAGACAGGGTTTCACTAGATGGCCTGGAATTTGGTATATAAACCAGGCTGACCTCAAACTCAGAGTTCCACTTGCCTTTGCTTCCTAAGTGTTGGGATCAAAGGTGTGCGCCCTAGTAAGTTCCGAGACACTGAGTGGTCCCTCTTCGTCCGGTTCTTGGCCAGTTTTATCCCTTTTCTCTAGTGACGTTGCCACCCTCAGGTCTGCCCCTCTGTAGATGGGTTTCAGATCCAGCTGTAGCATTTCCCTGCCCCCCCCATCATCTTTTCTGTTAGGCAGGATGTTTTTATGACGTGTGTCGGGGGAGGAGGGGCCCAGTGGTGGAAGTGTGGGAACAGCTGGTCCAAGTGCTGCTGGGATGCAGACTCATTCCGCCTGTACTGCCGTGTGAGGGCATGGGTGGGGGCGGCCCGGGCTCTGCTGGCTTTATTTGGAAGAGGCAGGGCAGGGGAGAAGAGAGGTGGGCTGAGGGCTAGGGGCTGGAGGTCAGTCTTCTCTCCCCATGGGTGGAATAAGAGGTGGACATCAGGCCTATGCTTTGGTGGAGGGCTGGAGGAAAGGGGGCGCCAAGTCCGAGACTCACGCCGCCAGGGCTCCATCTCAGTCCACTGCCCTCTCCAGCTCTGGAGTGTACCTTGGCTGAATCCTCCTATCCAGGCCAGGCTTTCAGCTTCAGCCAAGCCCCGCCCCCTATCAGTGCTGTGCACAGGCGGCCGCTGCTGGAGGCGCCTTCCTGCCTCCCTCTGTGCTGGCCACTCCTCGTCTCCCCTGAACCCCGGATATGGCAGTGTCTTCTTCCCAGGGAATGCTCTGGCCAGCTACCAGGCAGAGTTATGTTGTCTACCTATACTGCCACCCAGCTGCCGTGACCCATGTGGCTGGCTTTGGTCCTTTCCCGTGGATACAAGTGGGACAGGACCTATGCTACCTCTGCTGGATCTCTGCTCCACAAGCAGAGGCATCCGCGTTTTGGGGTGTTGTCACCGGGAAAAGCCTCTGCCTGAGTGTGGTCCAGTTGTATCAGGAGCGAAGGGCATCGTGGTTCTGAGTGCAGACTGCTCTGGCCTACGCATGTGCTCCCTGCCAGTACACATGATGAGCAAGTGGCTCTCCTGCCCTCCCAGTCTCTGAGCATGGCATCTCCACTTCAGGGCCTCCATGTGCACGGTCCCCCCGGTTCCTCTCATCCTTGCACAGATGAGAGAGTTGGAGGTTTGGGTTGTTACAATGACTTGCACATGTTCCAGGCTAGCAAGGACCCACAGGCAGGCCATGTAAGCATCTACCCTGGGTCTTTGGGCCTCTACTGTGGTGGGGAGCATGGGTTTCCTTCCCTAGGGCAGGCTGCAGCTGCTGTCTGTGGTGCTGAAGTGTCTGGTGCCCTCTATCTCTCCTCTAGACTCCTTTTGGGTGAGGGCTGGGGCTCTTAGAGCTCTTGGACACTGGTCTCTGTCACCTGGGGGAAGGGGATGTCCCATCTGACTCCCACTTTTCCATGACATAGCCTGGGAACTGGGGCTTCAGGGTCCCATGTCACTGCTAGCTGTGGGAGCTGGGAGCTGGGAACTGTCCCTTGGCTGAAGACCAGAGTCAGTATTCTGGGAAAGCCAGGAGGCCCTGGCAGGGCGCCGATGTGATGATTGGTTAGCAGGTGACAGGTTCAAGAGCAGGGCCCCTAGGGGGAGATTGAGCTGAGCTTCCAGGAGAACATATGGGTGGTGTCTTCCCAGCTGGACTGCACGGAGAAGCCCCTTCAGTGACATGTCCAACCTCAGCTAAGTGACTGGGAAAGGCAAGAGAATGTTGAGGGGCCCCTAAGATTCTCCAGACAGACCCTGCTGCCCTCCTTCCCTGTCTCCCATCATCTCCTTACCTCTCTTCTGCTTTTTTCTCCATCCCTCTCCCCAGCTGCTGTTTTCACAGTGCATTCCCTGCATTTCTGGCTCTCCCCATCTCTTCTCATGCCTGTTTTTGCTCACCTTGAAAACACCTCACAGCAGTCACAAAGGTGACAAGCCCTGAGCTGGTAATTGTAGTGGCAGTGACAACCTGTCCCTGCAGACCCACGTAGGAGGGGACAGGGCTCTGCCTGTTCACTTGCCTCCAAGTCACAGGCAAACTGTTTCCTTCCAGGGACAGTGTCTTTCTGGTGGGCATGCTATGACCGTGAACACCCTCATCTCCATATAAATGGGCCATTTTCTGCTTGTACAGACAGGAGACAAAATCATGGAGTCAATCTTAAGAGCTGCCTGATTTACCTTTTCTACCAGTGAGATGGAGTGGCCATCCTGGAGACAGGCTTGTACCGTGGTGGCCTCTGGAGAGCTGGTCCTCAGTGCGCTCATTAATGCCTGGCTTCACTAGGAGGAAGGGTGCAGGGTGGGTGCTAGTGGATGGGTCCGCTCCTGTTTGGAACTTTTCCTGGACACTTTGGTTTTCTACTCCGGTCATCATGGCCTCTATCAGGAGTTCCTGGAGGGCAGCGCCATCGTGCTTCCATTACAACCAAAGCAGAAGCTGAGCTTGCCCCGGGCTAGCCACACCACACTTCACCTGCCTGGGGAATCCTGGTTTCACTCACGGTCACCTCACCATTCGGTCACTCACCTCTGTTCATGCTCGATCATCAGCCCACCATGGATGACAAAAGATGGTGGCCGAGTAACTTATCCAGGTCTTTGGCATCCCGGGGTGTCTGGCACCCTCACCGTTCCCCTTTCTCTTCCAGGGGAGCAATGATGAGCTGTCGGAAAATGAGGAGGATCTGGAAGAGAAGTCGGAGAGCGAAGGTAGCGATTACTCCCCGACCAAGAAGAAGAAAAAGAAACTGAAGGAGAAGAAGGAGAAGAAAGCCAAGCGGAAAAAGAGGGATGAGGACGAGGATGACAATGACGATGGGGGCTTGAAGGTAATTACCGGGGCCAGGGCCGGGCAGGAGGACGGAGGTGCCCTCAGAGCCCGAGTCAGGCAGGCCCCCCAGAGCTCTGTGCACATGCATGTGAAGCCTTAGCTTCTGAGAACTTGGGAGTCTGTGGCCGCAATGGTGCAGTGTCTTGTTGACGGATTGGGGCTGCTCTCGGCAACAGCTTGCCCGCCTGAGCATGCAGCTGTTTCTGGAGAGAATGATACATAGTGTGAGCTCAAGTTTGGTGTCGGGAACCTCTTGCCTGAAGCAATTTGGGAAAATAAAACAACAAACGGAGTCTTTGCCACAAGCATCTGCCGGACAGCCCCGAGTGGCCAGCTCTGCCTGGTACTTGGCGCACTCTGCAGTTCTGCCCATGTGGGCATTCCTCCAGTCTCTCGGTGAACTTGGAGCTGCATGGCTGTGGCTGTGGCGGGCCTGGCTGTCCTTTTGGCATGAGCATCTCTGTGACAAAGCAAGTCAGGGCAACCCAGTTGAACTGAGGCCATCCCCTGGGCTGTGAGGAGTGGGTGGGTGACCTCATGTCATCAGGAATAGTTTGTGAGCTACGATGTGGCACCATAAACATCAACAATCACTGCTGGGCAACAGATTGCTATGAATGATTGAAGACTGGAGTGCTTAAGGAGCAGTTCTTCCTTGGGGGTGTCCTGACACCCAGTATGATCCCATTAGTCACTGGGGGCTGTGTTGGGATTCAGCTGTGACTGGAGTATCCTTGGGGACAGTTTTGAGAAATTAACTCCAGGGGCTGTCGAGGATTACCAGTCAAGGACATCATCACCTGCTTGTTTCTGTGCTCTTTGGAGGTGCCTTCAGGAATGGCGGGGTGTGCCTGAGGGGGCAGATTGGCCACGGAAAGGTGTCCCCGATGGAACCATCTCTGAGCTGTTGTGGAACTGGGTTCCTAAGCCCTTTTGCTTTGCGAACCATTTCTGGGACATAGGTAACTGGGGACCCAGGGAAGGTTTGTGCACCAACTGTGTGGCCTTCCACTGAAGTCAGCTTCCAAGGGGACTTGAGGGGTCAGGGCAGATGGTTCTGTGTGGCATTCACTGGTGTCCCCAAGGCTGTAAATGTTTCTTTCTCTGCTTCTGTGGATGGGGGTCTGTGTCCCCTGGCTGGTCAGAAAGGCCAGGAATTGTGGCAGAGACTGCGTGCTGACGGGCTTAATGGGTGAAGGCTTGGGGTTGGTGGGGACAGCTCAAGGTTACCTAGAAGAGGTAGGGTATGGGAGAGGGAGGTGTCTGGGTTCTGTGATGACAGTCACTAGAATATTCATCCCTTTCCCAAGCTCCTATGCTAATTCTCTATGAGGCAGAATGAGGAAACAGAGGCAGGAGGGTGAACTAATTTGTCTACCTCTCACTGCTGGGATCAGGGAGAGCCATGGTTAGAACTGACCCAGAGCAAGGCTGGAGGATGGGTCAGTGCTTAAGAGCACTGGCTGCTCTTCCAGAGGACCTGAGTTCAATTCTCAGCACCCACATGGTGGCTCAAAACTGTAATTCTAGTGTGTGTGTGTGTGTGTGTGTGTGTGTGTGTGTGTGTGTGATCTGATGCCCTCTTCTGGCCTTGACTGGCACCAGGTATATGTGTGGTGCACAGACAAACATGCAGGCAAAACATTCATATACATAAAAAGAAATACATTAAAAGTAGCTGGGTGTAGTTGCAAATGCCCTTAATCCCAGTAGAGGCAGGAGGATCTTTGTGTGTGCTGCACAGACAGACCCTCTCTCAAAAAAAAAAAAAAAAAAAAGAACTTCTCCACAGCCAGCCCGTCATCTGATCCCGCACCACTAGGCCGTCCTGTCCTCTAGCTCTCTGACCCATGGGATGGCCCTGTTGAACACTCACAGGAGCCCTTAGGGATATCACACACTTCCCTTAGCAGCACATCTGGGAGGTGGCTGAGGGACTCTTTCAGCACTGCCCTTGCTGGGCCACCACTTCATCCCGCCACTCTGTCCCAGCCTGTCCCCCCAGCTGCCTGCCTCCACTCTCTGGAGAAACACGTGTGACCTTTCCCCAGTCTCAACATTAAAACTCATGGCATCCCGTGAGCTGGCATCTGAGACGTGCCACTGGTGGAGTTGGCGGGATAGGTGGGTGTGGCATTCCGCTGTCTCAGTGGTAGGTGAGAGTTGTTCTTCCCCTGTTCTCAGGGGAAGGGGGCAGGTCAGAAGGCCCTGCCCCTGATCCCACGCTGGGACCCCATATCTCTGCAGGAGCCCAAGTCCTCGGGGCAGCTTATGGCGGAGTGGGGCCTTGACGATGTCGACTACCTGTTCTCAGAGGAAGACTACCATACGCTGACCAACTATAAGGCCTTCAGCCAGTTCCTCCGGTGGGCCCAGGGGCTGGCTGCTGTGGCTGGGTGACCATGGGGCTTGTGCTTGCCTGGGGCACCTAGTCAGGGGAGGTGGACAGAGAGGCAGCCGGGCTCCTTAGTGGATGAGAACTGTAAGAGCAGCCACTGACCTGGGAAGGGCTTGAGGTCAGGTTGGGCCTACTTCCCTCACAGGCCCTGTCCCGGGTCCTTCTGTGGGGGATGGCCTGCTGTAGGCCCTTCTCTGGTCTGCAGCCCAGACAGAAACATACAGGAGTCAGGAGTGTGCTGGGGTGTGCTCTGGTCTCATCTTTGCCCTTTCCCTGTCCCACTTTCTGCCAGGACTATGGGGTTGGCCACACCTCACAGGTGTGAGAGAAAGGGCGGCCGCTCCCTCATCTTCCTGTATTTCTCCCACAGGCCGCTCATTGCCAAGAAGAACCCGAAGATTCCCATGTCCAAAATGATGACTGTCTTGGGGGCCAAGTGGCGAGAATTCAGTGCCAACAACCCATTTAAGGGCAGCTCAGCAGCAGCAGCTGCGGCGGCTGTGGCCGCAGCTGTGGAGACGGTGACCATCGCTCCTCCACTGGCCATCAGTCCCCAGCAGGTGCCCCAGCCTCTGCCCATCCGCAAGGCCAAGACCAAAGAAGGCAAAGGTAAGGCTGTGGGTGAGTGGGCGCTGAGCCCTGTCTGCAGATCTGCCCCCACCCCCGATCCCACAGGTCAGCTGGGGGCTCTCCTCATGGAGGACCCAGTGTTTTACGTGACCTCAGGCTGACACCCTTTTTCAAAGCTTCTGTCCTGTCTCCTCCGGGGGAGGGTGGGGAAGCTGAGGATGTGAGTGGACCTTTGGGAGTTAACGTCTGCCCAACTACCCCCACACTGTGCCGTGGAGGGGTGTTCCATGGCATGAGCTTATTCCAGCCCACCTCAACCCCTACTGGCATGGAGGTGGGGGTCCACAGAATGGAGTAGTTCCAGCCTTGGACTTGGAGAAGTTTGAGGCAGTTTGGGTTAGTCTGCTGACCCTCCCATGTGAGCACCTCCTCCAGCATGGTCTTTCTGTGTCAAGTCCTTGGGCAGGGACCTCACAGGCCTGAGTATGACCAGGGCTGGAAGGACAGCAAAAGGCCCAGGTCCAGCTGGGTGGTGGCGGGGCACGCCTTTAATCCCAGCACTCAGGAGGCAGAGCCAGGCGGATCTCTGTGAGTTTGAGGCCAGCCTGGGCTACAGAGCGAGATCCAGGACAGGCACCAAAGCTACACAGAGAAACCTCGTCTCTAAAAAACCAAAACCAACCAACCAAACAAACAAAAGGGCCAGGTCCAGTCTGACCCCACGCAAATGGGACTGAGAGGGGAGGTCAAGCAGGGCCTTCTGCTTTGGAGGGACCAGGCTGCAACCGGGGGGATGTTCTGGCATCTGAGAGGTTGGGGACATTGACCTTCCCCAGTGGGAACATTAACTCCTCTGATTTGCAATTTGATGGGCTGAGAGGAGTCTGGGGACCCCATGTGTCAGCCCCAATAGTTTTAGTGTTTAGGACAACGCCTGGCACTTCTATTTTATGTCTCAGGTGTCTGATGGGTGAGTGCCATGGGCTGCCCGATTCATCTTCTCCTGCCCCATCTCTGTACACCCCTCATTTCCTATTTTCTCACTTCCACCTGCCCAGGAGCTACTGCCAAACTGTTGATTCCCTGAGCTGCCTAGTCAGAGCTCAAGAGATTGAAATAGCTTTTCTGTGGCATGCCCTGGGTGCAGCTGGGTCCCCATATTCATGTCCTTGTGTGTGGTGTAGTCATAGGAGAACTGGGCAAAGCTACCTAGCAAGGGTGTGAATCTATCACCATAGTTGGGGGCTGGAGCCCATGGTTTGGGAGGCTGGTGGCCTGGTTTTTGGTTCCAGGATGACTCTCTAGGAATCCAGGCATGGATCACAGGTGGGCAGTGTTGCTTCAGCGGCCCACCCTGCTGGTACAGAAGCCACGGGGCTCCTTGGAAGCAAGTCAGTTGGATAGTGTAGAGGCTGTTCCTAAGTTGGTAGGCATTTCTAAGCGTCCATAGCAGATGACCAGCATGGTGTCCTAGACAGCCAGACTTGAGTCAGCGTTGTCTCCTCATTACTCCCCATGTAGCCTAAGCAAGAGCTTCGCCTCTTAGACCCCCTGTTTTCTCACCAGGAAAGGGGTGGTGGGACACGTGACGTGAGCCATTCCTCATTGGAGTCTTGGTGGCTCAGTGAAGTGGCAGGGGAGAAATGGGCCACCGGTGGCAATGTTGGTCATTTCAGTCCTTCTCACAATGCCCAGGGCCTGGAGTGAGGAAGAAGACCAAAGGCACCAAAGATGCCAAGAAAAAGGGGCGGGGCAAGCGAGTGGCAGGGCTCAAGTTCCGCTTTGGCGGGATCAGCAAGAGGAAGAAGGGGTCCTCGGTGAGTGTGTGTGCATGCATATGCAAAGGGCTGAGGGGAGGGCTGTTTTGCAGAGTGGGCCACACTCGTTTCCCCGAGCTAACTGAAACAAGCCCTGCACCCTTCTCCCAGTCTCTGTGTGTACAGGCCTGCCAGGTCTCAGTTTCCCCATTTATTGGTGTGGACAGGACCCTTCCAAGGGCCCATCTAGCTTGGACTCTGGCCATCCTGCTGACCTGGGAGCTTAGCTGCGGCTGCTGCTGCCCACAGTGTGGCTCCATCAGGCCAGAGGATCAGCTGGTCTTTCACAGGGTGTGCTTGTAGGGTGGAGCCCTGGGAAGCGGCCTGTTTGACCAGGCTGGCGGAGCCATGATTCCTCTCCTAGCCCCATGTCTCATCCTTCTCTCCTCACCCCTGCTGGGCAGATGTCCCTTCTCCCGGCTCTGCTGAGCTTTTCTGTGTCACTTGGTGGGGGCAAGTGCCAGGTTGTGAGGTTGGCTGCTCTTGAAGGGAGCATGGTCCTGCCCTAGATGTAGCAGATCAGCTCAGCTCCTAAGGAGCCATTAATCTATCAGGCATGTCCACTGAGAGAGATCTGTGGAGATTCCCTAGGGGAGGGGTTCTTTAGGGTGGCCCTTGAAGGATATGTAGGAGTTAGGCAGTCAGTGGTCAGAGCCTGGGGAAACTGTATGGAGCAGAACTGTTAGAGGCGTCAGAATTACTCAAGAGCAGGAGCTGCGGGGATGGTGGGACCTGCAAAGTGCTGTACACTAGCACAGTTTCTAGCTGGGTTGGGCGACAGAGCAAAGCCACAGGGAGTCTTCAGAGCTTCCTGACCCCGCCCTACCCAAACCATTGGGCCGACCTCCTTTCCTGCAGAGCGAAGAGGACGAACGTGAGGAGTCAGATCTGGACAACGCCAGCATCCACAGTTCTTCCGTGCGCTCCGAGTGCTCTGCAGCTCTGGGCAAGAAGAACAAGAGGAGGCGCAAGAAGAAGAGGAGTAGGGCTCTTCTCCAAGGGGCGGGGCTCCTCTCCAAGGGACGGGGCTCCTCGCCAAGGGGTGGGGCTCTTCTCCAAGGGGTGGGGCTCTTCTCCAAGGGGTGGGGCTCTTCCCCAAGGGGCGGGGCTCTTCAAGGCGCGGGGTTCCTCTCCAAGGGGCGGGGTTCCTCTCCAAGGGGCGGGGCTCCTCTCCAAGGGGCGGGGTTCTAGCTGGTCTAGAACTTGCTATGTAGACAGGGCTGGCCTTGAACTCAGAGATGCCCCTGCCTCAGCCTCCCGAGTTCTGGTCCCTGCTCTTCTTTCTCCATGTTCGATCACAGTCTGTCCGTCCTTCCTTCCTTGTCTCACCCATCTCTGTCCATCTTCACACCCCCCGCCCCCAGTTGTTCACTGCCTTGGTCTGTCTATCCACCCACTTGAAATCATTTAAGCACCTATCATGTGCCCGTCTGGCCTGGGGCGGTGGAAATGGTTGTGTGTGGCAGGCCGTGGTCATTGCCTCTCTCCCTATTCCAGTGGATGATGGCGACGGCTATGAGACAGACCACCAGGACTACTGTGAAGTGTGCCAGCAGGGCGGGGAGATCATTCTGTGTGACACTTGCCCGAGGGCCTACCACCTGGTCTGCCTGGACCCGGAGCTGGAGAAGGCTCCGGAGGGCAAGTGGAGCTGCCCACACTGTGTAAGCCGTGGCCGGGGTCCGGACTGGAGTTGGTGGGCCATCGCCTGGGGACGGGTGCCTGTGGGAGGGGCCCCGGCCCAAGCTTCACCCACCTGGACTCCCCCTGCAGGAGAAGGAGGGGGTCCAGTGGGAGCCGAAGGACGACGATGAGGAAGAGGAGGAGGGCGGCTGTGAGGAGGAAGAGGATGATCACATGGAGTTCTGCCGCGTGTGCAAGGATGGAGGCGAGCTCCTGTGTTGCGATGCCTGCCCCTCCTCCTACCATCTGCATTGCCTCAACCCGCCGCTGCCCGAGATCCCGAACGGTGAATGGCTCTGCCCGCGCTGTACAGTGAGTGTTACACCTCCGGCCCCGCCCCGTCGCCACGCCCACCAGACCCTGAGCCCGCCCCCGCTGGCCCAGGCCACGCCCCAAACAAGCACGTACTCAAAGGCCCGCCCACCGTCTCACTGCGCCTGCTCTCCCCTGAATCCTCTTAGGACTTTTTATTGAGAATTTATTCTGAGCTAAGAACCTCTCATTCCTACTGGGAACTGAACCCAAGAGGCCTCACATTGAGCTGTAACTCCATCCATTGACTTTTAAAAATTGTTTTGGGGTTGCTTGGGCGTGGAACCCAGGGCCTATATGCCAGGCAAGCTCTCACCAATGAGCTACACCCAAGGCTCGTCTTCAGCGGGAAAACGAGGCTCAGGGAGGCACCACACTGCAGCAGAGCTTTCCACTTGGATTCGGGTTCCTGAGGCACCCTGGACCTGGTGTTCCCAGGCTGGATTAGTGACAGAGTGGTGGCCCCACAGCCTGGAGTCCCCATGTCCCTTGACTCAAGTCACTGTGGGCACTGAAGGTTCCATGTGTGGAGGAGTTGCTCTGTCCTCCAGTACTGGATATCCTGTCCCACAGGGTCCCCTCTGTCTTGTGCATATGTCTGTATCGCGTGTGTGTGCATGTCCTTGTCTGCGTGAGGGCTGGAGAGACCCCTCTGATGGGTGCGACCTTAGCTGTTCTGAGAACACCCCTCCTTGGGGTGGTACCTAGCTCTTCTGGGTTCCTCCCTGCAGGAGGTGAGGCCAGGTGGGCCTATGGCCTGGGAAGGGAGTCCTTCTACATCCCTGGAGTCCAAGAGACTCACTCTGCCTTTCTCTCTCGCTCCTCCTCCTTGCTCTTTGCCCTCAGAGGCCAGGGTGTGGTTGGTTCTGGGGTGTGTGGTGCACAGGCAGAGGAAGAGAGGCCAGTTTTACAGGCAAGGGGACAGATTGACAGGTTGTGTACTGAGGTACATGGATGGACGATGGCAGAGCTGAGACCTGTCTCCTACAGAGCCATCTCCCTAAACTGATGGTTTTACCTCATTCCATCTGGGGCTCAGATCTGCCCTTGGGAGGGTCACAGCCACACCAGGCTATCTCGGAGTAGCCCAGAGCATAGGTGCTGAGGTGTGACTGTTGGATTGCTCTGCTCTGCCAGACAGCAGTTCCCTGGAGTCCCACGGCCCTTGGGGCCTGAGTGTGTGTGGGCTGAGGGAGACTTGGCCTTCCTTCCCCAGCCAGCTCAGGTGCACAGCCTGCATGTAGCCCTGCTCAGCATGAGGGACATGGCCAGGACAGCAGTATTCATGCGTGTCAGGCAGGGCTCCTATCCTGTGGCTGCTTGTGGGTCAGGATGTGATGTGATTGTTCGTAGGGTTTCGTAGGGCAGGGGGTAATGTGTGGACGCGTGGATGGGGAAGTCTGGAGTTTTGTTTGTCTCCTTGCTTAGTGGATTTTATTGTCTACTTCTGCCCTCTGTGTGTCGTGGGCTCTGTCACCCTGATTTAACTTGCCAGGTTCTGAGGAGGCTCACTGTCAATTTATCAAGTACAAAGGTCCACTTGGACCCACAAGCTCCGTTGCTCATCTCCTGCATGCACAGCATATGTGGACTCCTGAGGAACCTGTGTGGCAGTCTACTGTCATGGGAGCTTCAGGGTAGGACCTTGTGACTTGACCCTGAACTTGCTGACATCCTCTGTTCACAGTGTCCTCCACTGAAGGGCAAAGTTCAGCGGATCCTACACTGGAGGTGGACTGAACCCCCAGCTCCCTTTATGGTGGGGCTGCCAGGACCAGAGGTGGAGCCAGGCATGCCCCCGCCCAAGCCTCTGGAGGGCATTCCTGAGAGAGAATTCTTTGTCAAGTGGGCTGGGCTCTCTTACTGGCACTGCTCCTGGGTGAAGGAGCTACAGGTGAGACTCCCGGGCAGCGTGGTTATACTTAGCCTGGTATAAGCCTGGGGCCCTCCAGGGTGGGCAAGAACAGGCTGGCATGTGCTGTTTAACCTCCACGCCCCCCCCAAGCGTGGGTGGGAGCTGGGGATGGCACTGAGGAGGAGGCTCGTCCCACCTAGGAAGGGACTGGGACCTGAAGGGCTGGGTTGGGGTCCAAGGCAAGCATCCATCTCCCTTTCATAACTTGGACTTCTCTGTGAGCAGCTGGAGCTGTACCACACCGTGATGTATCGCAACTACCAAAGAAAGAATGATATGGACGAGCCACCCCCCTTCGATTACGGCTCTGGTGATGAGGACAGTAAGAGCGAGAAGCGGAAGAACAAGGACCCTCTCTATGCCAAGATGGAGGAGCGTTTCTACCGCTACGGCATCAAGCCAGAGTGGATGATGGTCCACCGCATCCTGAACCACAGGTGAGGGTGGCAGGCTTGCCTTTCAGAGCCAGGGATGGGTGCAGCGGGGCAGGGGGAGGGGCAGAGACACAGAACTGCAGAGGATGGATAGGGCTGCCCAGCCAGGAGGGTCATTCACCTGCACAGGGGTGCCCTCACGCTCAACATCCTCGTTTACAGTAGGGCAGTCCCAGAGGCGTGCAGATGGAGGGAAACGTGATGAACAGTCTGTGAAACTTGTGCAAAGCAGCTTTTCTGTGGGGCGGGACATGTGCTGTCTCAGGCTCCTTCCAAATTAGGGATTGAGGTCATCAGGATGATTCTGGGAGCCAAGCAGGTCCAAGAAAGGATCCGTGGGTGTTAGGATCCCAAGAGGCACATTCAAGGAATATACACGGCATGGGGCTGGCCATGGTGGTGCACACCTTTAATCCCAGTGCTTGGGATGCAGAGGCAGGCAGATCTCTGTGAGTTCAAGACCAGCCTGGTTTACATAGCCAGTTCCAGGACAGCCAGGGCTGCATAGAGAGGTCCGGGGGCTGGAGAGATGGCTCAGTGGTTGAGAGCACTAACTGCTCTTGCGAAAGACCTGGGTTAGCTTCTCAGCACCCATATGGCAGCTCACTACCTCCTGTAATTCCAGTTCTAGATAATCAGATAGCTCTCCTGACCTCTGTGGGCACTGGGCACACATGTGGTACACATATATATGTGTAGGCATTTACATGTTCACATTTTTTCATAAAATAGACATTTCTTTTTGAGACTAGGTCTTGCTGTGTAGCCTTGACTGACCTGGAACTTACCATGTAGACAAGGATGGCCTTAAACTCAGAGATCCACCTGCCTCTGCCTCTTGAGTGCTGGTATTAAAGGCATGTATCAGCATGTCAGACTCAAAAAAAAAAATCTTAGAAAAGAATGTTTTCAGCAAGGCCTAGTTACCTGCCTGGATCCACAGAGCTGAGGCTGCAGGATTGGGACCTGGACCCAATCTTTTGGTAGGACTGGTGTTTTCTTAGCCAGGGTTCCTAACCCCTATGCCACCTCTCATTAAAGTCTGGCATTCCCAGGTGCTTAGTGGTCAGAGAAGCCTGGGCAAAGACGCCCAGCAGGAGGGCGTAGGCTGGGGGAGCCAGCTTCTGAGCAGTGGGTGGTGTGACCCTCTGCTGATTCCTAGACTCAGGGTCTGGAGGACAGGTGGTGGCTGCCAGAAGGCCTTGGGAAGGGCCCTGAGTACCCGTCACAAGGTGGCAGCTTAGAAATCTGAACTCCCTCCCTGTTCACAGCTCTCTCTCCTCCGACTTGGGATGGGTGGCCTTCCCACTCTGTCTCCGACCACAGGCCCTATTGACAGTTATTGTGAGCACAGAGGAGGTGAAGAACCTCTATGGCCATGGACTTCTGAGCTGGTCGTCACGTGACATTGGTGCTGGGCAGCCTTAATGGGGTGGTTTGGAGGGAACAGGAAAACAAGAATAATGTGTCTTATTGACTGTGAAGCACCCTGCCCATTCCCAGACTCCAGATGGTACCTGAGCTGCGCCTGGGGTTGACTTGCCCCCCTTTTCTTTTATTAAAATGCATGCTCAAGTGAGAAGGACAATTTCCTCTGCACCCTCAAAGAGGAGCCGGTGAACCTCCCAGAGTGTGTATAACAACCAATTATTTATTGAAAATAAGCCACTGGTTTCCATGGTGACTGAGAATTGGCCTTGCTCTTTGTGGTCCCCAGGCCACAGCTCCCCAACCCATTTGGCCTCACCCTTGCCATTTAGGGCTGCCACGGTTCCCTGGCTTTGCTGGGCTCTCCTGGCCTGGCTGCTGTGTCCACTCAGATCCAGCAGGAGACCTCGAGGGTTCTTTCAGTGGCCACTGTGGGGTGTGGTCATTGGGTTCTCATGTCCCTGGGGACCTTTAGAGGCTGTCCACACCTGCAGAGACTGTCTGTCTGTCTGTCTGCTTTGTAGGGAGAGAGCTACACTCTGGATCGATACTGCAAAATGCATTGAACTTTTTATGTTGGAAAATGAGGTCTCTGAGCAGGGGAGAGATTCATGGTGTCATTTCCTGTGTTCAGATTACGTAGAGCGTGGACTCACCCCTGCAACAGAGACTGGGAAGGACCCCAGTTGCATCTTCTTAGCCCTCTGTTAGCACAGCCTCCCACTGTCCCTGTCTCCGTGTGTCTGCTGCTCTCTCCACACCTTTATCTCTTTTTGCAAGCGGTGGCTTGGGGCAAGCTACTAAACCTCTCGAGGGCTCTTGCCCTGGCGCCCTCCTCCTGGTTGGCCCCGGGATACTAGGACACCATGGACATGAGCGCATTGGCATTTTATGTGGGGCCCTGCCTGGAAAATATGCATGCGCCTCCCTCATCTTCTGCCTCTTGTGTTGCAGCTTTGACAAGAAGGGGGACGTGCATTACCTGATCAAGTGGAAGGATTTACCCTATGACCAGTGCACCTGGGAGATTGATGACATCGACATCCCCTACTACGACAACCTGAAGCAGGCCTACTGGGGCCACAGGTGTGCTGGCAGCCAGGTGTGGGGTGCTGGGGTCCCTCCGGGCTTGAGCTGTGCTCTTCTGAGTCTGATGCTTCTACCCAGGGAGTTGATGCTGGGAGAGGATGCCAGGCTTCCCAAGAGGCTGGTCAAGAAGGGCAAGAAGCTGAAGGACGATAAACAAGAGAAGCCACCGGACACGCCCATCGTGGATGTGAGCAGAGGGGGAGGAAGCGGGAGTGTTGGATTGCCAGGTTCACCACCCTAGCCTTGGCAGTACAGGGAGGCCTTTCCTCAGGGACCATTCCCTAGGCTCTCATGGCTGGCCATTTTCAGTGACACTGAGGCTGTATGGGCCAGTGGGAAGAGCCTACTGGTCTGGAACTCAGGGATTGGCCTGATTCTACCTCTTGAGTTCTGGGATTAAAGACAGGCACCACCGTGCTGGATCCCTTGGGCATGTTTTAAGAAGCCTGCCTTAGGCTGGGGATAGAGCTCAGTTTGTAGATTGCTTGCCTAGCATGTCCAAGCCCTTGGGCTCAATCATTAGTGTGGCTTAAACTGAATGTAGTGGTACATGCCTTTGACCCCAGCACTCAGGAGTTGGAGGCAGAAGAATCAGAAGTTCAGGATCATCCTTAGCTACGTAGTTGAGTTGGAGGCCACCACGGACTATAGGAGACTTATCTAAAAACAAAAAACAAACAAACAAAAAAAAAACCCAACCCAAACCAAAAAACCCAGCAGCATCAACAACAACCTCATACCAAAAAGACCAGGACCCATGGTGGGGACATAGTCTGCTGGGGGTACCTTACTGGGAAAGTGACCTGGAGATAATGGACAAAAGGGGCACAGAGTGATGTACTGGGTAAGAGCTGTGCTTTGGGCAGGTGTTAGAGCAGGGGGCCAGCAGGTGTTTCTTGGAAGGAGAGGCATCCTAGGCCAGACCTCAAGCAGAGTGAGGCAAGTCAACCTGGTGGTCCAGGACTCAGGATTCAGTGTCTGATTCTTGCCTCCCCTCCCACAGCCCACAGTCAAGTTCGACAAGCAGCCATGGTACATCGACTCCACAGGAGGCACGCTGCACCCTTACCAGCTGGAGGGCCTCAACTGGTTACGTTTCTCCTGGGCCCAGGGCACCGACACTATCCTGGCTGACGAGATGGGTTTGGGCAAGACGGTGCAGACCATTGTCTTTCTCTATTCCCTGTACAAGGAGGTGGGCAGGCCGGAGGGCAAGTGGGTCTGGGTAGGTGGGTGCTGGGCAGGCGGGGTCTGGTGCCATCTACTGGCAGCCAGCTTCACCGCCTCAGGCTCTCTCTGCAGGGCCACTCCAAGGGGCCTTACCTTGTCAGCGCGCCCTTGTCCACCATCATCAACTGGGAACGTGAGTTTGAGATGTGGGCGCCTGACTTTTACGTGGTCACCTACACGGGGGACAAGGAGAGCCGCTCTGTGATCCGTGAGAACGAGTTTTCCTTCGAGGACAACGCCATTCGGGGTGGGAAGAAAGTATTCCGCATGAAGGTGAGCGCTGTCTTTATCCCCAGCCCCAGGAAGGCATATCTGCTATGGGGCCACTGAGCCCTGCAGTGTTCAGGTTCCTGTGCCCAGCCCGAGTGGGCCAGTATCACAGTTGCTCTGTACTGATGTAGTGGAGCATCATCAACTGAGGGTTAGCCCACAGAGCTGCTTTTGACTGCCTGGAAGCCAGCTGGCCAACTAGGCTCCCTCTGAGGCCCCAGGAGGGGCCTTTTCTACCTCTTCCAACTTGTGGTATCTGAAAATCGCCTGACGTTTCTCTGTTCCTGTCTCTGTTGTTACCTGGAATCCTTCTCCTTGGGTGTCTTCCTCTCATAAAGACATCACTCATGCTGGATTGAGAGACACTCATATCTTAGCCAGATAACACTTACCTGCTAAGTCTTGTCTCAAAAAAGGAATCAAAGCGTTCAGGTGGATGTGAATGGAGAGGCGGTCTTCTTCCCAGTACCCAGCTGTGTGTTGGGTTACGAGGCTTCCCTGTGCCTCAGAGCCTGCTCAATGGAACGTGGCCCCGGCTTGAAGAGCAGAGCTTCTGGGAGGGCCAAGAGTTAGTAAACAGTGGGCGTGGCCAAGAGGTGTCTTCTTTGTGCTTTAATCCCCAGGGGGTCTTTGTCACAGGGCAGGCCGTGACCCAGAAGCTCTTGGGAGCAGGGGGATGACTGTCTGCACTGGTAAAATAGCCAAGCCAGGCTCATGGGATGACTGAGTGCAAGCCTGAGCGTATGTGTTTCATCCTGGGAACTCATGTAAAAAGCCAGATATGGGGATGTGTGTCTGTGGTCCCCGCACTCTTAGGACAAAATGGGAGGCAAGGACAGAAGAGCTGCCCAGGCTTGCCTTCAAGGCTCAGGTGTGTGTGTGTGTGTGTGTGTGTGTGTGTGTGTGTGTGTGTGTGTGTGTGTGTGAGGGGGCGGGGTTTCTAGGAGCCAGAGGTGGTGGATGACTTCAGGCAAACAGCCTGATACAACGGGGCAGATCCATAGAGAACTCACAGGGACTGTGATAGCATGTACAAGACCTACACACACTCTCGAGCCACACAAAACCAGCACAGGGGAGAAGTAGGCGCCAAGTCCCACCTCTAGCCAGGAAGCTAGCTGCAGTTAGCAGCTGCTGGAAGAGGGACACTGAGTGTATGAACCGCAGGTCAGGCTTCAGCTCAGGAGCAGCTGGCCAACCAGACTCCATGTCTGTTTAAGAATGAAAGAACAGGACACTGGGTGGATAGGGTGGTGGGAGGGGATCTGGGAGGAGTTGGGGGATGGGAAAGAATATGATTAAAGTATATTGTGGGAATTCTCAGAGTAAGTAAAAAGATCATTAAAAGAAAGAAGGTTGCAGGTTACCTAGTCTGGTGTACGCAGCATGGCAGGAACAAAAGAGACCATTTCAACGAGCAGAAAACTGACTCCCAAGGTCGTCCCCTGTCCACATGTTCACCATGGCGCACACACCCACACTCACACCACATACGCTGTTGAGACAAGGTCTCATCATTGTGTATACCAGGCTAGCCTTCGGACTCCCGCCTCACTGGGATTGCAGGCCTGTGCTACTGTGTCTGGCTTTGTGTGGGTTCTGGAGACCCACACTCCAGTCTTCCATGCTTACCCACTGAGCCATCTCCCCAGCCCTGGCGACAATTATATCCTTAAACATTTTCTGCCCAAGACTGGTTGAATGCCTGGATGTGGATCGTGCAGTCATAGAGGGCTATTATTTTTCACCTTCTGCAACAACACCTTCTCCAGGGCACTGAGCTTTGTCCACTGAAGTGCCTCGTGCCAGCGTCGTTCCTCCAGGACTCCCCAGATGCTCGCGGGGTTCTCACTCACACTTTCTCCACTCTCCCTGTCCCTTTGGTCTACCCTGTCCCTGCAGCCTCCTTCACGTTCTTGTCCCTCCCCACAGAAGGAAGTGCAGATCAAATTCCACGTGCTGCTCACCTCCTATGAGCTCATCACCATTGACCAAGCCATCCTGGGCTCCATCGAGTGGGCCTGTCTCGTGGTGGACGAGGCCCACCGGCTCAAGAACAACCAGTCCAAGGTAGGAGGCACTGACGGAGGGACTGACGGTGGGACTTACCCTCGCTGTGTGGCCGCTGCTCTGTGCCTCCTGACGGCCCTTCTCTTCTCCCCAAAGTTCTTTAGGGTCTTGAATAGCTACAAGATCGACTACAAGCTGCTGCTGACAGGGACCCCCCTCCAGAACAACCTGGAAGAGCTATTCCATCTCCTCAACTTCCTGACTCCAGAGAGGTTCAAGTGCGTCCCTGGGCTGGCAGGAGTGATGGGTTGCCAGCGTGTGAAGGCGTGGCAGCCGCCTACTCTGGCTCTGAGAACTGCTTGGGGACCTTGGTTTCCCCATTAGTGAAATGGGAGCATGGGCAGTGTTCTGTGGTGATCCTGTGTGGGAAGGTCTCGGCATTCTCCTTCCCTGGGGAAATCACAGCTGTCCCAGCAAGCCATGGCTTTCTTCAGCACTGTCCCAGAAGGCCCTGGGGCTTCTCTGGGTTCCTACCTTGTGTCCCTCAGCCTACCCCTGGCTCATTTCACCCACAGTGATGGCAAGCAGAGGCCAGAGCTGGGGTGGGGTGGGGATGGGAGCGGAGATGGCCCTGCTTCCTAGGCCTCCTCGGTTTAATCTGGGTTCAGATTGCTCAGAACTGTGGAGAGGGCTCAGGGAGGAGGGGCCTGTTTTGGACGCTGATTCAAGGGCAGGGTGTAGCGTGCTGAACCACATGACCTTGAGTTCTCATCCGCCTTGGTCTCCTTTCCTGTAGCCTGGGTGTCTCTGGGAACTCATGTGCAGAATAGCTGTGAGGATGGGGAGGGATCCTGTGTGGCAGAGGGCCGTGACATGTGTCCTGATGCAGGCTGAGATGGAGCCTGAGTGGCTACTCAGCAGTTCCAAGGCTCTCTGGACCACTGGCCTTTGGGTTCTGCTGGCCGGGGGCCCTGTCCTCTCCCTCATCCTCCCTGGTCCTGATTCCTCTGCAGAGGGCTGTGGTCTGCTCTGGCTCTTATCCCATATCTTTGTTGCAGCAATCTGGAAGGCTTCCTGGAGGAGTTTGCTGACATCTCCAAAGAAGACCAGATCAAAAAACTGCACGACCTGCTGGGGCCGCACATGCTCCGGAGGCTCAAGGCTGACGTGTTTAAGAACATGCCGGCCAAGACAGAGCTGATCGTCCGTGTGGAGCTGAGCCAGATGCAGAAGTGAGTGATGGAGGCTCAGCTCCGTCCTGCAGCAACTGGCCCATCTCCTGGTCTAGTGTCCTCAGCCACCCCCTTCCTGCAGGCCCCATCTGGCTCTCCGGACCATTTCCTGGGGTTGGCAGGAGTGCTCACCTGCGAGGCCTTGCACACTGCATCTCCTTCCCCCTTTGTGGGCTAGAGTCAGGCTGCCCAAGTTCTACTCCTGTCTCCCATTGGCTTGCCGGGTAACCTGTGCCCTGTGCCACACGGTGCCTCGGGACACCACCAGTCTTCCTGAAGGTAGAGCCTACCCCTTTAGGAGTGTGGTGGGGCCTCCAGCCAACCTTGTCCCACACCCTGTTGCAGGAAGTACTACAAGTTCATCCTCACACGGAACTTCGAAGCACTCAACTCCAAAGGGGGTGGCAACCAGGTGTCTCTGCTCAACATCATGATGGACCTGAAGAAGTGCTGCAACCACCCATACCTCTTCCCTGTGGCTGCCGTGGTGGGTTCCCCGTGGCCGGTTCCCTGTGGCCAACGTGGCAGGTCCCAGTGGGCACTGTGTTGGGTTCCCTGTGGCCGTCAAGGCATGTTTCCATGGCTGCTGTGATGGGTTCCCTGTGGCTGCCATGGTCGGTTCTTCATGACCATCATGGCAGGTCCCAGTGGGCACTGTATTGGGTTCCTCGTGGCCATCGGCATGTTTCCATGGCTGCTGTGATGGGTTCCTGCTCTAGTAGGTTCTCTGTGGCCATCATGGTAGGTCTCTACTGCCTGTTGTGTTCCCTGTGGCCACTGTGATAGGTTAACTCTGGTCATCATGGCAGATCTCAAATGTGGTAAAGTTCCCTGTGGTCATGGTGGGTCCCTGTGGCTGCCATAGTGGGTTCTCTATGACCATCATCCAGGCCCCGAGTGACTGATGTTGTCCCTGTGGACAATGTGGTGTGGTCTCTTCCCTGTGGCCATTGTATAGGTGCCCATGGCTAGGTGCTTTGGTCCCCAGTCCTCCATTCCTTCCTGACAATGAATGCCAGAGGTGACATGTATCTCCATCCTGTCCCTTTGGTGCTGGGGGACATTTTTGGAAACTGCCTCTGCCCACTGCTTGGCCCCAGGTCATTTCTTCCTAACCCCTCCCAGTAGCCCCAAAGCCTCTCCAGCTTCAGCACAGGGCCTCCAGGGAGCTTTGAGGGCTGACCCAGCTTCACTTTGTCCCCGAGGGAGCTTATCCTGGGTGAGTCTGAGTGGCAGCGGTGACTGAGACACTGGACTCTGGAATTTGTCCAGCCCGGTGCTTTGATCATGGGAAGTTGATGCTCCTTGTGGAGCCTCGGGGCTCTTCTTGTTAAGTGAAGCAATAGTGATACCTTCCCAGAAAGGTCCTGGAGAGATTCCGAGGAGAAAGTTCACAGGGAGCTGAGGACTAGGCTCTCGGTGGGCATGGCTGGTCACCACCCCCAGCACTGCCCTTTGGGTTCAACTCATCCTCTGCTGTCACCTCTTCCCCATTACTGCAGAGCTGGGCATGCTGGCTGTGCTGGGGTGACCTCACTGTGGGCCACTGGAGGTCCTTGTGACTTGGTCTGACTCAGGAATCTTCTGGGATCTGCCTTTAGATTGATCTGCCTATCTGGGGTCAGAGATGGATGCACCTTCCAGTGCCCATAGTGACCAGGCCAGGTTTCTGTGGGAAGGTCCCTGGGCTTCATTTCAGCACTAGGCTGAGAGTGAGGCTGGCAGGCCTGTGTCTGGAGTCAGGCTCCCTGTGACCCACACTAGTGAGCCTGCTTGGGTTTATACTCTGTGCTCAGTAGAGCAGATGGGCAGGTGGCCCACGGCCAGGCACTTGTCCATCACTACAGTCTCTTTGGTGCCAGAGCCAGAGGGAGAGCCCACCAAGACTCTGCTCTGCTGTGCCCACAGGAGGCCCCCATGTTGCCCAATGGCTCCTACGATGGCAGCTCCCTGGTCAAGTCTTCAGGGAAGCTCATGCTGCTGCAGAAGATGCTCAAGAAGCTGCGGGATGAAGGACATCGAGTGCTGATCTTCTCCCAGGTGGGCTACCCCGGAGCCAGCTCACACCCACAGGGGAGGTGGGCTACCCCGGAGCCAGCTCCCATCCACAGGGGAGTCAGCTGACTATGGGCTGAAGGCCTCTGAGCCCCTGTATGACACATCTGGGTAGCTCATGGAGACAGGGTCTGGTTGCTATAGAGACCAGCATCTCATCTCCCTATACCTGACCCTCTGGCCCATGTGTTCAGGCTGGTATGATAGCCCCCTCTTTTGTTCAGCCTCTTTTCACCCCTGTGGCTTGGTTGTTAAGGTAGTCCTGAAGTTGGTCTGGGAGGACCCCACGATTGGGGGCAGCTCCAGGAGCCCCTCTCCGTGGCTTTGCTCCAAGGGCACACTGGTGACATTGCTTTCTGTGTGTGCAGAAGCAGGCCCACCCAGCTCAGTGGTTCTCTCCCTCTTCCTCTGCTCTTTGTTCGGCTCATCATGTTTCAGTCTGGTTTCTGGGCACAGACAGGAATGTATAGGCTCTTCCCTCAAACTGTCCAGTCTGGAGGGAAAAAGATAACTCATGAGACACTCGCCCAAACTGACGGTCAGGGCTGTGTTGGAGGTTATAGTGATGAGGGTCCTAGGGCTAAAAACACTTGCCTGGGATGAGACGGAGCAAGGCTATTTCTCAACGTGAGTGTGGGGTTCAACTCTCCTGTGTAAAAAGTTGAGTGAAAAGGCTTGCTGGTGCCTGCCAGCGGCAGGCTGGGGTGGGAAGTGGGTGCAGAGTCTGGGGAGGCAGGCCAGGCCCGTGACTACAGCTGGACCGGGTGGTAGCTGGCAGGCTGCATCCATTTTTCTCTGATGACACCATTTCTGCCACAAAACACGAGTCGGGGTGAAGGCCCTAGGAGCCCAAGTTGTGGAAACTGTTGTGATAGAAATGTACCGGAGGAGAGATGACAGGGATGTGGCCCTCCCATCTAACTGACAAACCCAGACTCCCCAAACTCTTCAGGAACTCATCTACATCCATCCCATAAAACAATAATTAGAACTGAAATGAAGAGAGAATACCCTGGAAAACACTGTAAACATTTTGGGATTTTCAAAAGTTACGGAGTGACTTGTCCATAAAGGAAGGAATCAGACACAAGCAGGAAGAGATAGCGTAAGAAGCAACAGCTCAGAACGCCGGCGGCTGGAGAGACGGCTCAGCGGTGGAGAGAGCCTGCTGCTCTTGCAGGGGACTGGGGTTTGGTTACCAGCACCCACAACATGCAGCTTGCCACCTCCCATAAGACCATTTCCAGGGTATCAGACGTCCTCTTCTGGTCTCTGCAGGCACCTGTGTACATGTGCACACACCCACACGTGGACCCACATACATGTACATAAAAAAAACCAAACAAAAATGCAGAGGAGTTTAGACACTGAAAGAGAACACTTTGTAAGACTGGATAAATAAACTCTCACCATTGAAAAAACACTGATGACCTGGAACCCGAGGCTGAGGAATTTCCCAGCATGCATCAGAAACAGATGAGAAAGCGTGGAGGATGTCTGAGACGGCACTGCCAGGAACTGCAGAGAAAGCACCAGGAAATTGTGGAAGTCGTATTTGCAGACTCAGAGAGTCTCAGTGGTCTCAGATCTGCAGTGCTCCATGAAAGACTAAGCAGGGTCCGAATCAATAGGCCAGCCCCTGGACACCAGCTAGGGAAAACAACTCAGCCTCAGACCTTTGGAGGAGGGATGATCAACCCTCAGACTTATCAATAACGGCAGGTGGTGGGGGAAGTGTCCGAATCCCCATGCTTTGAAGGAGGGTGTCTGCTGGTAGTTTCATATAATTGAACTATCTAAAGACAGGAGGGGCCGGGCGGTAGTGCACGCCTTTAATCCCAGCACTTGGGAGGCAGAGCCAGGCGGATCTCTGTGAGTTCGAGGCCAGCCTGGTCTCCAAAGCGAGTTCCAGGAAAGGCGCAAAGCTACACAGAGAAACCCTGTCTCGAAAAACCAAAAAAAAAAAAAAAAAAAAAAAAAAGACAGGAGGGACCAGACCGGACACTGGGAGCTCCTAGGGGCTGCCTCGGACCAGACCGGACTCTGGGAGCTCCTAGGGGCTGCCTCGTGGGAGGTAACATTGGGAATAAAACATAAAGGAGGTGACATTGGAGCTCTCTAGGCAGTAAGGGGCCCGTGTATGTCAGGAGTCATGTGGTTGGGAGTAGGTATGGGGAGAAGGGGGCTTCGGGCTTGCAGGGTGTTGAATGCCAGCAGAGGGGCTGGGGCTGTCTTTTGGGGAGGTGGGAGTGAACCAGAGGCTTGTGCCTGAGGCTGTGTATGGGGGCTGCTCTGGAGAGTAGATGGTGGGTGAGAGGTGAGGTTGGGGGCTGCGTTCTTTTTAGGAAGCCTGCTTTGGCCATGTCCTCCAGCTCTGGAACTCTCCTCTTACCCATGGTGGGGTCCTGGCTTGGTAGCAGTCATTCATGAATCTATTTTTTTTTTTTTTTTTTTTTTGTAGATGACCAAGATGTTGGACCTCTTGGAGGACTTCCTGGAGTATGAGGGCTACAAGTATGAGCGGATCGATGGGGGCATTACTGGGGGCCTCCGGCAAGAGGCCATCGACAGATTCAATGGTACCCATCCCTCTCAAGGGACCCCGTGTCTCTGGGGGTCTTAGTCTGACCATCCAATTAAGTGCTTCCCAAGCTGATTTGCAAATGGAAGAAACACACCAGTTCTTAGGCCACAACTGTTTTCCCTTGTTATTATTTTCTTAAGGTCTTACTATATAGCTCAGACTCATCTCTAGCTCACCATCCTCCTGCCTCAGTCTCCCACGGCTGGGGTTACATGTGTACCACCATGCCAGACACTTTTTACAGTCTGTTGGGTTCTAAGGAGACTCAGCAGACAAGCTCTCTAAGCAGCAGTAGAGATGGACAAGAAGAAGGCAGAGTGGGAAGGAAAGGCCACTTGCCGCAAACTGGCTGGCCCTCCTGGTTGACAGCCACCTGGGCCTTGAAAGTTGGCTTCCTTCTCATTCTGGCTCCCTCCAGCTTGGCCAGCGCCCAGCATCAGCAGGGTTGTGGGAGCCCAGCAGACGATGTGGCTGCTCCTCTGGGGTCACAGCCTGTCCTCTGCCAGGGGACCTTTGCTCCGGTGCCTGCCCTCCTCTGTGCTGTCTCCCTGACCCCTGCCCAGGTGTGCCCACTAACTCACCTGTGCCCGTTGGCCTCTTTCTCAGCTCCTGGGGCCCAGCAGTTCTGCTTCCTGCTCTCGACCCGGGCCGGTGGCCTGGGCATCAATCTGGCCACAGCAGACACAGTCATCATCTACGACTCGGACTGGAACCCTCACAATGACATCCAGGTCCGTGTCTCACCCCTTGTGCCCTCAGCACCTCTACCCTTCCTCCCCTCCATACGCCTTCATGTCCCTGGCACTGTGCCCCTGGTGTGGAACCTCCCGCTAAAAGGGGGCCCTGGGAGGTGAAGGGAGGAGGGGCAGGGGAGGTGTTCAAGACGCACAGCAACTTGGATGACGGTCTTGATCTGTCCGGTTTTGGAGGGATAGGAATACAGGGAGCCTGCTGGACACAGGGGAGAGGAGGAAATGGAGGGAACAGATGGGATGACAGGGAAGGATGGAGAGAGAGCAGGGGTGTAGGAATAGTCACCTGGTGTTCTACAGCCACGTCACTCTGGGGCAGGACATGACACACTGTGACAGTTTGGGGTGCACACACACACACACACACACACACACACACTTGTGTGTCATATACCCTGCCACACCAGGGCCGTATCGTATAGAGACACAGTGGAGGCCCAGGCATATCCTCCAGGGCAGTTCCCAGGCCTTGCTGCCCTCAAAGGTTGCTGCGTTTCCACACATGGCTTTTCTGTCCCATGATCACTCACACACAATGAGATGTAGCCCACCTTCCCCTGATCCAGCACTGGAGTCCCAGGAAGCTTCATTTCCATCAAGCATGCAGGACACTGTTCCGGGACACACCTTTGTATGCCTGGAGTCACACCTGCATCCACACGTCGGGCATATTTTCACTCTAAACCAAACTGGCCACAGGCTGCAGTGCTGCTGGACACTGAAGTGTGCCCAGATGCACTGCTCTCCCCACAGTGCACCTCCCTGTGTGGTCAGGCTGCCCCTCGCATGACCACGGGCTTCCCCTACGGTCCTCCTCGGTGCACCTAGCTGTGGCCTGGAGCCCCGAGTCAAGCCCTGGGTGCTGAGCTGCAGTCTCCCCCAGGCCTTCAGCCGCGCTCACCGCATCGGGCAGAACAAGAAGGTGATGATCTACCGCTTCGTGACCCGCGCCTCTGTGGAGGAGCGCATCACTCAGGTGGCCAAGCGCAAGATGATGCTCACACATTTGGTGGTGCGGCCCGGCCTGGGCTCCAAGTCAGGCTCCATGACCAAGCAGGAGCTGGATGACATCCTTAAGTTCGGCACAGAGGAGCTCTTCAAGGATGATGTGGAGGGTGGGTCCCCCTTCTGTGGGGGTGTGATGGGGGCTTGAGGTAGCCCTGTTTGCGGCATACCCATTCAGGACCCCAGGGTCCCTGTCCTCTTCTCTAATCCAGCTTGGGACACCCCCAGAGTGAGTTAGGGTTGCATCTCTGCTTGCTGCCTACCAACCCTGCAGTTCCTCAGTGCCCTGGCCCAGTGTCCCCCCTCTTCTGCTTTTCAGGCATGATGTCCCAGGGCCAGAGGCCTGCCACACCCATCCCCGATGTACAGTCCTCCAAGGGCGGATCTCTGGCTGCCAGTGCGAAGAAAAAGCATGGCAGCACCCCACCAGGTAGGGCCCACCTGAGTCACCCACAGCCTTTTGTCTAGTCAGGTGGCTGCTCCCGGACCAGAGGAGGTTCTCTGCTGCCCATGGCTCCACTATTGGCTAAGGGTGGGTGAGGAGGAATGTCACACCTGCCGGGGTTCTGGTGTAGCTTCCTCGCCTGGTCACCAACCTTCTCACCCAGTAGAAGGGCCACCTTGGCAGTGACCCTGAGGTTGGACCTGGGCACCTACATCTGTGTTCACCTGCTCACCCCTCAGGTGACAACAAGGATGTGGAAGACAGCAGCGTGATCCACTATGACGATGCGGCCATATCCAAGCTGCTGGACCGGAACCAGGATGCCACAGATGACACGGAGCTACAAAACATGAATGAGTACCTGAGCTCCTTCAAGGTGGCGCAGTATGTGGTCCGCGAGGAAGACGGCGTGGTAAGGCCAGAGTGCCACGCTGCCCCTGGCAGCCCCACCCTGCGCTTCCCCCCACCCTGCAGCCCCACACCATGCCTCTGTCTTGTGCTGTTCTAGAACATGCCACCTCATCTCCCTCGGGTGTCTTGAAAGGCCCAGTTGCCGCCACAGCTCCCAGTCTGTCCCATTGGCTCCAGCCACCCTCCGTGCAAACCTGGGCATTGGTTATAGTTCCCTTTAAAACCGTGAACCAGCTGGGCAATGGGGTGCCTGCCTTTAACCCCAGCACTCAGGAGGCAGAAGCAGGTGGCTTTCTGAGTTTGAGGCCAGCATGGTCTACAGAATGAGTTCCAGGGCAGACTGGGCTACACGGAGAAACCCTGTCTCAAAAACCAAAAACCAAAACCAAACAAACAACTCAAAACAACAACAAAACATAACAAAAAACAAATATAAAACCATGAACCCTGAGGGCAGTGTCGGAAACCAGAGTTTCCGACCAAGGCCAGGATGTCATGTGGAGTGAGTGACAGTGGCAGGGAGGAGACCAGCTTGAGCTGGAGCGATCAGGGAGGGCTTTCTGCAGTAGGTCTGTGAAGGTGGGTGAGGTGTGGCAGAAGCACCTGGGTGTGCCCAGCCCTCCCCCACATCTACGTCCCCAGGAGGAGGTGGAGCGGGAGGTGATTAAGCAGGAGGAGAATGTGGACCCTGACTACTGGGAGAAGCTGCTGCGTCACCACTATGAGCAGCAGCAGGAGGACTTGGCCCGCAACCTGGGCAAGGGCAAGCGTATCCGCAAACAAGTCAACTACAACGACGCCTCCCAGGAGGACCAGGGTGCGTGTGGTGAGCAGGGGCACTCCCACACAGGGGCTGTAGTAGGTGGGTGTGTGAGCAGGGGCACTCCCACACAGGGGCTGTAGCAGGTGGGTGTGTGAGCAGGGGCACTCCCACACAGGGGCTGTAGTAGGTGGGTGTGAGCAGGGGCACTCCCACACAGGGGCTGTAGCAGGTGGGTGTGTGAGCAGGGGCACTCCCACACAGGGGCTGTAGTAGGTGGGTGTGAGCAGGGGCACTCCCACACAGGGGCTGTAGTAGGTGGGTGTGTGAGCAGGGGCACTCCCACACAGGGGCTGTAGTAGGTGGGTGTGTGAGCAGGGGCACTCCCACACAGGGGCTGTAGCAGGTGGGTGTGTGAGCAGGGGCACTCCCACACAGGGGCTGTAGTAGGTGGGTGTGAGCAGGGGCACTCCTACACTGGGGCTGTAGCAGGTGGGTGTGTGAGCAGGGGCACTCCCACACAGGGGCTGTAGCAGGTGGGTGTGTGGCAGGTGTTGCACTGGGGAAGAGTGGCAGCGGGCATCAAGGCTTCTGGGAGGAAGGGAGCTGCAGGGAGGTGTGGGTCTGGGGACAAGATGGCTATCATCCAGTGGTTTCAGGCAAGTGTTGGAGTGTGGGCAAGCCTCCACAAGTCTTCCTCCAGCTGCATTCCTGAGTGCAGTCCCCTTTGGCCCTTGTCATTGTCGTGGCTGTGCCTGGGCTGGGGAGGGGCTCGGCCTGGCCCTGGGTGCACAGGCCCCTCTGCTGACTCTCTGCAGAGTGGCAAGACGAGCTTTCAGACAACCAGTCTGAGTATTCCATCGGCTCCGAGGATGAGGACGAGGACTTTGAGGAGAGACCCGAAGGGCAGAGTGAGTATTAGTGTAGGTGAGCTGGGCTGTTAGAGTGGGTAGGGAGTGATGGCAGGTGAGGCTGGGCTGGGTGCCCCGAGGGAGCTGCGGGAGGTCGTCCAGAGGGTCTTGCTGTCCTGAGCGTGCTGGTGGAACCCCTGCACATCAGCCTGAGGGTCTGTGGTGGGCTGTTTTCCAGGTGGACGACGACAATCTAGGAGGCAGTTGAAGAGTGACAGGGACAAGCCCCTGCCGCCTCTTCTGGCTCGAGTTGGGGGCAACATTGAGGTGGGGTCTGCCTGTTTCCCAATCCCTCCCAGCCCTACTCTCCCCCCTCCAGCCCCCATATGGAGGAACTGAGGGTTTTCCCCGGTTCCTGGCTCATGCGGAGGGGAAGCTGAGAAGGACCCTCTGGGTTCAGGGCTCCCTTGCTTTCCTTCCCTACCCCACAGTTCTGTCCATCTAACCTGAGATCACTCCCCTTCTCCACCCTGGCCAGGTGCTGGGCTTCAATGCCAGACAGAGGAAGGCTTTTCTGAATGCCATCATGCGCTGGGGCATGCCCCCCCAGGATGCCTTCAACTCCCACTGGCTGGTGCGGGACCTCCGTGGGAAGAGTGAGAAGGAATTTAGGTAAAGCGTCCAAATGAGGTGGTGGTCCAGGCGGGTGTGGCCTCCTATCCCTGTGGAGTGGGTCCTCCAGTGGATAGTGCTTGCTCCCTCCTGGTCAGAAGTGCCCGGAGAGTTCATGGCTATCAGATCTTTGGGTGTGGTATATTGGGCAGGGCTGATTTATAGAAAACACTGGCCAGCAGTCCCCCTGCCCAGACTCTGGGATAGTGAGGTTGGGTCACCCAGGGCCAAGAGCATCTGGGGTGGGTCCCCTGTCAGGGAGGCTCTTCTGCCTTTCTGGGGGCCTGGCCCCAGCAGGCACGCTGTGGTGGATGGAGGATTCCACCCAAGAGGTCCCTGGGGGTCCTGCCAGCCTTCCCTCACCCCCTGAGCCCCAGTACTCCCCACCCCAGAGCCTATGTGTCCCTCTTCATGCGGCACCTGTGTGAGCCGGGGGCAGACGGTGCCGAGACCTTCGCAGATGGTGTACCCCGGGAGGGCCTGTCCAGGCAGCACGTGCTCACGCGCATTGGGGTCATGTCGCTGGTTAGGAAGAAGGTGGGTGAGTAAGCCTCCACTAGCCCTCTGGCTGGCACGTGGCCCTAGCACTGCCTCTGATGGGGGTCAGCTGCCAGAGGCAAATGCCTGGCTCAGGTCACACAGCTACCCAGGTCTGAGACGGACCAGAGGGACTGACTGTGTAGGAGCCTTACAGGGTGAGGGTAGGCGGGATGAGGCCAGGAGGGTGAGTTCTAGGGAGAGGGGCCCCTGACAGCAGTTGCAGAACTGCGTCTGTCCCAGCTAGCCGTGGGCAGAGCAGCACCCAAGCCTGCCACGTTCTGTCTTGTGGGCGGTCTCTGAGTCGTCCTCTCTGTCCTCTCCACTATCCTCCTGCTGCCCAGGTTCAGGAGTTTGAGCACGTCAACGGGAAGTACAGCACCCCTGACCTGGTCCCTGAGGGACCAGAGGGCAAGAAGCCGTGTGAGGTGATCTCCTCGGATCCCAACACACCCGTGCCTGCCAGCCCTGCACAGCTCCCTCCAGCCCCACTGGGGCTGCCAGGTCTGGGCCTAGGGAGGGCCTGGGAGAGCTCTTGGGTCAGGGGAGGTGGATCAAGTCCTCTGTGCAACCCACAGTGTGAGGGTTCCCCCACCCCACAACCTCTTGTCGCAGGGCTTTTTCCTTTTGGCAACAGCCTCGAGGTTTTACTCCACGCATGCCATGCAATCCGCTTTTCTGTTTTTTTTTTGTTTTTTTTTTTTTTTTTTTTTGGTTTTTCGAGACAGGGTTTCTCTGTGTAGCTTTGCGCCTTTCCTGGAACTCACTTGGTAGTCCAGGCTGGCCTCGAACTCACAGAGATCCACCTGGCTCTGCCTCCCGAGTGCTGGGATTAAAGGCGTGCGCCACCACCGCCCGGCGCAATCCGCTTTTCTGAAGCGTGGGCTAGCGGCTCCTGCTGAACTCACTGGATATTTCCATCACCCTGACAAGAAAACCAGCCCTGGTCACACCCTCCTCCCCCTGCTTCTGGAGGGCAATTTCGATGGTGTCAGGCTTCCTCCATCCTGACAGTGCCCACTGTGGCCTCACCAGGCCCAAGGGCCTACAGGGGTCTGAGTTGGAGACCTGGCCTGGAGCCCTGCTCACACTGCTGAGCTTGTCTCCCGCTGTGGAGCACCGCAAGGCCAGGCCTCCTCCTCTCAGCTGACATGCCCTGCCCTGCCCTGCTCCTTGGCCCTGTCTAAGCCCACCTGTCTCACCGCTTCCCCTTTATACTGCAGACAAAATGGAAGCCCAGCTGGGCTACATGGATGAGAAGGAGTCGGGCGTGCAGAAGTCAAAGAAGCCCCAGGAAATCCAGGTATGAAAGTTGATGGTGGCTGGGCCCTGTGGAGGATGTGGGTGGAGCTTGGTCTGGCCCAGCTGGGTAGATGCCAGGATTTCCTGGCTCCCAGCTCCAGTCTCTGGGTCTAGGGTGACCAGGTGGGGAACAAGTGGGGGCGTTGGGATTGAAGGCTCCCAGCCCAGTGCATATTCCCTGCCCTGCATCCCTGCTGAGGCTCAGGTCCTGCAGCCCCCTAGCCTGTCCTTCTAGGCCCTGCCAACTGCCCTGGACAGAGTGGAGGCTGAGGACAAACATCAGAGCTCAGACAGCAAGGACGGAGCTCGAGAGGAGAGGATGGAGGAGGTGGGGAAGGCCCAGGGCTCTCCGGAGCAGCCACTGAAAGGTAGGGCTTCCTCAGCCCAGCACAAGACCCCTGCAGCCCTGGGCAGGTCGGCGGACCGCACTCCAGTCTGTTTACCCTGCCTGGATGCTAGTGGTGTCCTACTACCTGGTGTTGGGAAGGGCAAGGGGTCAGGTCTATATAGGACTTTCACCCTGTCATGGAGACTTTGGGGCTCTTGGGGTATGATTACAGGGTTCCAAATCACTTGGATTCTTGTTTGAAAATACAAGTCCATCTGGATACTGTCAAACTTGCTTCTGGCTTAACATGGCTGGAGTCTGTAAATGCCTTGTCTGGATTGGAAAAAGGCGGTTGGGTGTGAGGTTCTTAATACACACTTCAGATCATTAGGTAGAGCTTGTTAATTATACTGCTAAGGTTTTGTGTTAATATCCTCATTGGTATGTGCTATGATCAACCACTTCTTGAGAGACTCTGTGTCAAAGCCTCACTGTGACTGTAGGGTCAGCACAGCACCAGGTTGTGTTGTTAGGTGAATATTCGTTAGTATTTTTCTGCCGAGGGACAGGTGGATCTCTGTGAGTTCCAGGCCAGCCTGGTCTACAGAGTGATTTCTAGGATAGCCATGGCTACATAGTAAAACCCTGTCTCAAGAAAAACAAACAAAAACGAGTATTTTTCTTCGGAAAAAGCTTCTAGTAGTTCTAGTAGCCTGCAGTAATTACCATCCTTCTTGATAGATTTGGGAGACACCCAGCCTCGGTCTGTAAAGTGCTCGCTGTGTGAGTGTGCTGACCTGAGTTTGATTTCCATCACCCATGCAGAGCAAAGCAAAGACAGAACACACCAGTAAACAAAACAACAGAAACAGAAACAAAACCCAACCCCAACCAACCCTCCGCCACACCCAACCAAACTCCAAACACAGCACATGTGGGCAACCCCAGTGCTAGATGGAGACAGGAGGAACCCTGGGGCTTGCTGGCCAGTCCTCCCAAGTCCACGTGTAATGAGGCTCTGTCTCAGGAGATAAGGTGATGGTAATTAAGGACGACGTGAATCATCAACCTCTGGGCTTCACATGTGTGTGCATGTGCCCCTTTCCACATGCACACACAGACTCATGTACACACACTTATTTTGGCAGACATGTGTTGATTACTTTGGTTTTATGTGTTTGGTAGACCTGGATTGAAGGTGGTACTTTGTGGGGAGAGGCCAGCCCTACCTCCCAGGAGCGTTCTAGGCTGTGCTTCTTGCACCCTGAGTAGCACTTCTGATGGATAGGAGACCCCTCTCTGCCCATGAGCCCCCCTTGTTCTGCAGAGGAAGTGCTGCCAGACAAGGAGCCGATCCCAGACAAGCTGGAGCCAAGCCCGAGTCACAGCAGCGATTTCAGGCCGGGTAGGGGGCTTTTTCCTGTGCCTGCCTTATGCCTCCTGGTCAGTCCCCCAGGTGCAGACTCCAGGCCCTGGTAGGAGCCAGTGGACAGGGGCCTGGACTTGCAAGTTCTTCCTATCAGGGCGGCTCTTTTTCCAGGGGACAGACTCATCCCACTTCTCTCTTTACCCCTCCTGTCACCCCAGTCACCCAGAGAGGGAAAGAGCTGGTCACAGACATCTGTGGCTCAGCTTTGTGCACTAAAGCTCTAGAGCAGACACCCTGTGGTCAGAGCCCTCAGGCATCCATTGTCTCTGAACTTTTCTGAGGTGGTTCTAGTGTGGTGGGGGAGGGGCGCTAGGGCCTGGAACCTGCTCAGGATGGAAAGAGAGGGCCCCTTTCCTTTTAAGTCCCTCTGTACAGTGAGCGCGTGGAGGACAGGCATGCTCCACTTGTCTTTGGGGCTCCCAGTGCATGGCAGGGAGAGGCTTTGGGTAATGCCTTCTGGAGAGACGGTGACCGTGGCCTGTCGCCTCTCCACTAGATGACTCCAAGGCTGAGGAGAAGGAGCCCACGGAAACACAGCAAAATGGTGACAGAGAGGAAGACGAGGAGGGGAAGAAAGAAGACAAAAACGGGAAATTCAAGTTCATGTTCAACATTGCAGATGGCGGCTTCACAGGTACCGAGGTGGAACCCTAGGCAGGGACTGGGCTGCGGGTCCCATGTCCCAGGAGCCTGGGCAGATGGCAGCTTCATGCTGGGGTATGAATGGTTGATACAGTCTGTTGTTCCCCTCTGAGCAGTGCTGGAGCAATGCACCTCCGAGGCTGGGTGGTGGCCGGCGCTGAACAAGCCTGTGTGCACGCCGGGGCAGGGACTGTGCGTTTCGCTCACTTTGACTTCTTTCTTCAGAACTGCACACGCTGTGGCAGAATGAGGAACGGGCCGCTGTGTCTTCGGGAAAAATCTACGAAATCTGGCACCGCCGTCACGACTACTGGCTGCTGGCGGGCATCGTGACGTATCCTTGGTCAGTCACTCTGGGGTGACTCTGGTCTGTCTGGTCCTCAGGGGACCACAGGCTCTAGGGAGGACCTTCCCTTCATCTCCCAGCTTCTGGTGATTGCCTAAAACCTTGAGACTCCGTGGCCGGTCTCTGTGTTCTATCATGTTCTGTCGTCTGTCCTTCTGTCTGTCTTCCCCCAGTCAACCTTCCCAACACAGTCATTGGGATTTAGCCCCCCCTCATCTAGTCTGAACCCTTCCTGATCGCATCTGGGGGAGGGCCACATTCTTGGGCTTCTGGGGTTGGGACTTGCATGTGTCTATCTGGGGTGCTGGGATAGAGTCAGCACTAGGAGGCCTCAGTGCCCTGCTTGGCGCCTGCCATCCCCAGCATGCTTATCTTCCAGATGTCTGACTTGCCTGGGGCACACAGAGAGCAAGCTAGGACCCTGGTTACTCCCACCTCACCCCTACTGTCAAGCCCCTCAATCCTGTGGCCAGCTTTGCCCTTAACTGTACCCCTCAGACATGGCTATGCCCGCTGGCAGGACATTCAGAATGACCCGCGGTACATGATCCTCAACGAGCCCTTTAAGTCTGAGATCCACAAGGGCAACTACTTGGAAATGAAGAACAAGTTTTTGGCCCGCAGGTTCAAGGTAGGCCTTTGAGGGTGTTACCTCCCCACCCATCCCTGTACCTAAACTTGGGCCAGGCTCTCCTCTGAGGATTCAGTCAACCCACCCCAGTGTGTGAGCATCTCCCACTGCCCAGGGGATGGGATTGGAGTTCTCAGTTTGTGGAAGATTCCCAGGGCCAGAAGATCAGGCTAGGAGGGAAGTAGGAGGCCAGCCCGGAGCCTCAGCTTTGGTGGGCGTTGGTGGGAGGAGGAGGGGCCAGGCCAGTGCTGTCCCTTCCCCGCCCAGCTGCTGGAGCAGGCACTGGTGATCGAGGAACAGCTCCGGAGGGCTGCGTACCTCAACATGACCCAGGATCCCAACCACCCAGCCATGGCGCTCAATGCTCGCCTGGCGGAGGTGGAGTGCCTTGCTGAGAGCCACCAGCACCTGTCCAAGGAGTCCCTTGCCGGGAACAAGCCTGCCAACGCTGTCCTGCACAAGGGTGAGTGAGCCCCGCCCCTCACCTCCGGTGGTGCAGCCCTTAGCCCCCATCCTGCCCAAGGAGCATGCTCGGCCTCAAGTGGAGGAGCTGACAGGACAGATGCCCAGAGGGTGAGGCCTCTGGGGGCAGAGGGGTACAGTTCTGTTCTAGTACCTCATTTCACAGAAATGCCAACAAGGAGGGCTCAGGCTGTGGTAGGTAGCACAGAGGTAATGAGATTGGAGGTCTCACCAACGCTCACATTGCTGTCCTGTGCAGGGATGAGCAAGTCCTTTGCCTGGAGGAATGCATCTTAAGTGTCTCCATCTTGGAATTTAGGAAAGGGACCAGTTTGCCCAAGGTCTACTTTGAATCTTACTCCAGATCTCTGCTTTCCTGGTCTGAGGGCTCCAGAGTGGAAAGGGGTATTGCTAACACTGCTCACACATGAAGGTCTGGTCCATGCTCTGTCCCCACTGGCAGCAAAGGTGTGTGGGCCTGGTGGTCTAGTGTCAGATGGGTTGCTGGCCACCCAGAGAGGGAATCCAGAGCGAGTGTTTGGAGCTCTTTTCTGCCAGGAGGGACCCCTGGAGGAGTTTTCTTGCAAACCCTGTTTCTCCAGTTGGCAATCCTAGGCTTCCCAGGATTTGAAGAGCCTGGTGAGGGATGCCCCATGGTGTCCACTTTTGGGAGTGTGCTGTGACGTATGTAAAGGGCACCTTCCTGGCCACAACCTGTATGGCAGCTGTGGAGGGCAGAGCAAGCCCTCCATTCTTAGGCCCTCCCACCCTGCAGTCCTGAACCAGCTGGAGGAACTGCTGAGTGACATGAAGGCGGATGTGACTCGCCTGCCCTCCATGTTGTCACGCATTCCCCCGGTGGCTGCCCGTCTGCAGATGTCCGAACGCAGCATCCTGAGTCGCCTAACCAACCGTGCTGGTGACCCCACCATCCAGCAGGTCAGGTTTGGCCTGCGCACTGCATCGTGGGCCTGAGTCCCCCTGTTGTACGGGTGGGTGCCCCTGGGTGGGGACTGGGTGGTGTTCTGGTTGTCACCTGTAAAGCTGGTCCTTGCCTCCAGGGCGCTTTCGGCTCCTCTCAGATGTACAACAGCAGCTTTGGGCCCAACTTCCGGGGCCCTGGACCGGGAGGGATTGTCAACTACAACCAGATGCCCCTGGGGCCCTATGTGACTGGTAGGTCCCCACCCGCTTCCGGGCAGCATGCACACAGCGCCCCTCTGGGGCCCAGCCTGCCCGTTGCTGGGGATGCCAGGCAAGCCCACGCTCTGGTCTCTTCTCGGCAGACATCTAGTCGTCCGCGTGACCTCCTCCCGCTGCAGCGCTCCTTTCCAGCTGAGGTGAGGGGCTTGCTGGCCACTCCGCTGTCCCACGCCCTCCAGTTTGCCCTGTCCCAGCACTTGGTTCATGCGCCTGAGCCTTGGAGTCTTTGCTTCTCGTAGCTTTGAGTCACACTGGTCATGGCTGTGTCTGTGTGTGTATTCATGTGGACGTCTGTGTGTGCACATGTGTTCTTAGCCATGTGGCAGAGATCGCTGCTCTCAGCCTGGAACCCCGTCCTGCATGATGGTTGGCCCATGGACAGTTGCTGCTTGTCTTATACCCTCATTCTCTGTCCAGGACCAGGGGGAGGGAGTACCGAGGGGTTGAGGGTCTTAATGGCTTTGGGAGTGGAGATGGGGAGTCCAGAGAGGTCACCAGTCCTGATGGCCTTCTCCAAGTGCTATCTGTCCCTGTAAGGTAGATGCAAGGCCAGAGGCCCTGGATGAACTTCCATGCAGAGTCTGCTGGGTGCTGAGACTCCAGTAATTGGGGTGCCGCTCACATCTAGCCCAAAGGCCTGTAACTAGGGGATCTTGAGTCCAGGATTCCCTGTGATCATAACTGTGACCACACCTATGGATACCTGGCCACCCAACTGTGTAACCCACTGGTTTACCTTTTGCAGCCGGGCCACCTGCCCAACCCCCACGGGAGAGAAAAGCTACAGCCCTTTTAGGAGTTGGTGCCGCGTTGGGACACAAAAGGGAAACGAAGCAATTCTATCACACAGAGGACAAGGCCCAGCCTGGCTGCACAAGAGCCCAGAAGTGCCGCCTCATCATAGCTGAAGTGTTCTTCCGCACTGCATCCCACCCGTAGCCACGCCAGGCAAGGCCCTGGCACCTTTTCCAGAGTGACTGACTTAGAGGAAATTCCATTTACCTGTACTTTTTTTGCACTTTCCTACCGAAGATGCGAACGTGTTTGTCTTGATAAAAAGTTGGATGTCGTGTGGAAGATTCAGACTCACAACACTCCTGTCTGTCACCCGGCTCCAGACCTCAAGGGAAGTTCTCTGGAGGCCTTTGGTGCTGCTCTGTGGACTCACTCCAGCTGGGGAGATGCAGCATCCTGTGTTCTGGAAGCCCTTAGTATGTCCCCTGCCCGTGTCTGCTCCTGTGTGACTGCCCTTCTGCGCTGGCCCCCTGCCTGCTCGGGACCCTAGTGTTGGAGGGGATCAGGTCTGGAGAGTGCCTGCCTAGCCTGGTGATGCCCAGGTCGGGGTTTTCTATCTCCTTCCTGCCAGGGTTGGGGACCACCAGGCACATTTCATCTCCTGGCAGGGGTACCTATCTCAAAGGCTCTGGAATCTCTTGTTTCCAGTGGACATGTGGAGGCCCCAGCAATGTGTGGCAAGAGGAAGGGGTGCCTCACAAGGTGGGACAGACCTAGACCTGGGCCAGAGGCCCTACAGGGGCTTCTGGACATTTGCTGTTTGCAGGAGTATGGTGTAGGCAGGTAGGAGCTGGTGCCCCAGGAAAGAGGGTCATGTTTGTTGGGTGGCTCTGGGAGACTTGTCCCACTCACCCTGGCACAGACTTCCCTGAGCCCAACATCCTGGGCCACAGATGTCAAGGAGCTGGACTTACCTCTGTTGTCTTGGTCCTAGAGAGGCCTTGACCAGGGCAACTGCTGCATGAAGTAGGGGCCACAGTGGCCCTTGCTGGTTCTCAGAGGGTGTGGAGAGGGCTGTGCTTGGAGGTGGGACTGGACCCGATGGCTTCTTTAGATCCTTCCTAGCTGGAGCCTCCAAGGCTTCTGGCCTTATTTCCTGCAGGGGTGCCTTGGAGTGCCAGGGCCATCTTCCCATGTCAGTGTGGGCATGCCAACTTGTCTTGCTCCACCCTAGTCTGTGGCACCATGTAAGGCTCCATGCTGGGGTAGGGGTGGGGTGGACCTGCCAGGCTCTCGGCCTGTGTCTGACCTTCTCGCTGGCCCTGGCTCAACCTGGAGACTTCCAAGCCCTTGCCTTGGCGCACCCCAGGCAGGTGCCCTGGGGTTCAGTAAACCCTGAAGATGAGGAAGGGGCTTCTGGGGAGAAGCCCATTGAGTCTGAGGTCAGGGAGCTTGGAGGGGCTCAGACTCTCCTCCCTGGGAAAGGAGTGAGGGATACGCAGGGTCCCTGGGCCCACCAAGACGGGGGCAGGTCTCCTTGGCTTGTCTTAAGGACACTTTGGCAGTTGCCCAGCCTTTACTTAGCCCAGATGTGCACATCTGTAACATAGTTCCTCCTCTGAACCCCTGGAGGGCTGGACCCCCACGGCTTCTTCCATTGTGACACTTTCACACTTCAGTCTTTTCAAATCTCAAGGCCAGTGGACTGGCCAGACACTGTGGGTAGGCAGAGGGGGACTCTGGTCATAGACTGAGCATACCATAGAGCTCCAGGATGTGTATCATGGTGGCTGACCCCCACTCTCTAAGAAGGGCTGTCCCCTGCATGGGAGTGGCTGCCATAAGCTTGTTCCCCAACCCAGAGCCCCTGTGCTAATCCCACTGGGCAAGACAGTCAGCCCTGCTGGCCTCATTTGGAACTGTGCCCCAAGTGACAGACCCTGACACTCGGGTCTGGAGGTACAAGTGGGACAGATCAGGGCCTGTGACTGGCTCTATTTCAAGGGTTCACCCCTTCCCTGGTGACATCTCCCAGGAGTCTTGCTCTGTCCCTCAGCTCTGCTTCTTCCTAGGTCATACCCATCCACCCTGGCCTTTTCCTCTGCACAGCCACCTTGACCTGAGCCCCCTACTGGCCTGGGAAGGTCTATGTTCCCCGTGACCAGCACTTGGGTGGCTTTGGAGGGTAGTCTGCCCAGGCAGCTGGGGAGAGGGAAAAGGTCCTTCAGGGGTGCTCTTATCTTGGTCCATCAGCTGTCTCCTGCCAGAGAGTGACAGGGCAGAGGTGGCATCTTGAGGCTGCTGATAGGATTGGGGTCCTCATGCCCAAGCTGTCAGAGCTGCAGTGACGGAATGTTTCCAGACACTTGGCTTCCCTTCACTCTGCTGGATGTCTGTGGAAGGTGCGGGGTGGCTCTCAGGTGACATGGAGAACTGGGGTCAGAGCTGCGACATCTGAGGGCACCCCCTCACACGCTCCTGCTGTGAAGTGCCTCCTCTGCTCCCTGTATCCCAGGGCCACCCTGTGAGCCAGGGCTCCCCTCCCCCGCCCTCTGGGTGCTCCCAAATCCATATAGGTTGATGGGCTCCGTGACACCTGCAACCAGTCTCCTAAGTCTTGAGATCCTGCAGGGGGCATGCTGAGGGTGGGCCAGAGGGCCGGACATCTTTGTAGAGTGGGCAGGTATTGATGCTTGGAGCTTCTAGTGTGTGCCAAGGAAGGCGGTCGGGAGCCTAGACTGACCCTCCCTCTACCTTTCACTGTCTTGACCTGCCTACAAGGGTGGATGGCCACCCCCAAGGCGCTCCTGCGCAGAGCACAGCATGGAGGAGGAAGCCAACCTGCCCGATTTATATACCAGGAAGTTTACAGGTTGTGGTGCGTCAGCCCAAAGTCGTCGGCGTCCTTCTGTTTATGGATATTTTCCCTCTTAATTTTCAGATTTTTTTTTTAAACAAAGTATTTTTTTAGGTGCGATAACCCGGAAAGGGCCTGTTGGGTGTGTGTGTATATGTCCTGAACTCTCCACATAGCCACATAGGAACCAGAGCCCAGCTCAGAGGCAGCTCCTCCACTCGGCCTGGAGAGGAGGGAGGGCCCCCTGCTGCCTGCCAGGGTCAAACTAGACTCTCCACAGAGTCCTCTTCCTGCCCAGGCCAGGCTGGCATCTGTCCCGCTGCTGCCCCATTCAGCACACCCTGGTGAAGCAGGAGTAGGCACTTGGGGCTGGCTGGAGCGTCTCAGCAGGGGTCCCAGGGGCACATAGCCAGCTCCTCCGAAGGCTGTCCTGGGGGAGGCTGGACGGGCTAGTCAATTGTTACCTTCACTCGTACTCTGTGTGTATGTTTTGGTTTCTGTGTTTTAATAAACCCTTTGGGAAGGGATGGAATCATTGTAGTTCTTAGCCTCGCTGGTTTAGAACAGGGATGTGGAGAGTAGCTGGGGAGATGAGGACTTGCACCCAAGCTCAGGGCTCACAAGGAAGACGGGAAGACCCCAAATAGCAGTATGCTGGAGGATGCACCTCCTACCGCCACCTTCAGACACACTGTAGTGACCCATGTGCTTCCTTTCCCAAACCCATCAACCTGAGAACAGCAGCCAGCTGGTCCCTAAAGGCATGGCGCTCCCCAGCCATCAGCCCCGAGTCTTTGGAGGTGTCAGCAGAGATGTGTGTATGGTGGGGGGAGGTACCGTATCTCCCACAGGCCTCAGAGACGTCATCTGGGAGAGGCGAGGGTGGATCTTTTGACCAGCCCATCCCCTCTCTCTGCCCTGTACTCGGGCCCTTACTTTCATCTTGTTCTCAGTTGTAGAGTCCAGTTTAGGGGTGGGGGACCCAAGACCTCATCCCTGCAGTTGGCGGCTTTGCGCTCCCCTGATGCCGTCTCTGAGGAAATGAGAGGACTGAAGCATGGAGACGGAAGGGCTCGGGTTTTATTTGTCATTCCATAAATACGGGCTGCACCTTGGAGAGTCTGTCAGGAAGCTGGAGGCGCTTGCGGTCGGCCTGGTGGGGTGCAATTAGCAAGGAGCCGCGCTCATTAAAAAACGGGTAGAGAAAGCACATTATGTACATGATGGATGAGAACAGGGCACACGGGTGCCCTGCCGTGCCTCAGGACCTTGGGTCTGGGATGAGCAATAGCAGGACTCCATGCGTCAGATCCCTCAGACAGCCCCCTCCTGCACCAGGCCCGGCTGGCTGTGCTTCAAGGTGGGAAGGTGCTGGAGGCTGGCTGGGACTGACCAGTAGGCAGCTGGGGCCAGAGGAAGGGGAGCTCTGTGGCCATGGAGGAAGGAGCTGGCCTTAGACCCTTCAAGGGCCAGGGGCAAGCTCCCCCTTTATAAGTTGCCTGCACAGGTCTTTGGTGGTCTCCTAAGACCATCTTACCCAAGCCCCTCCATGGAGGCGAGTGATCCTGTCCTTAAGCAAAGCCCCAACTCCTCAAAAGGAAGAAAACATCTCAAACACGTGGTTAAAACGTCATCCCGAAGGCTGCGGGCATCGAGGGCTCATGCAGCCCCGTTCACCAGCAGCCTGCCTTCCTGTCTCTTTTGAAGGAGCTGAGCTCTGAGGTGTGGCTGTGGGCATCTGTGGGCATCCCTGCATGCCTGGTCCATGTAGCAAGCAGGGCCAAGGCCAGCTGTATATACAGGGCTGGCTAGTTCCTGCTGGGCCACTGCAGGGCCCTGTCCTGGAAGCAGGCTCCTCTAGCCAGGAATGGAGGTTCCAGAGCCTAGTGGCTTCCATCCCCACACCCACAGGGCTGCTTCTGAGGTCTCAGGGCTTGGGGCTATGAGCAGTGGTGAAGGTCTGAGAGCCCAGGGTCTGCAGGGGGTAGGTATTATGTGTGAGAGAGGAAGCTTCCCACCCTGCCTGCCTTTCTTCCTGTCTCTTCTGTCCATCCCCACCATGTCCAAGCCTCTGCCCAGCTCTGGCTGGACAACAGATGGTGAGGAGCGGCAGGGAGAAGCCTTGGAACAGCAGCTACGGAAGAGAAGCTGGGTGCTGTGCCTCCAGGGTACATGCCTGGGAACTGGCCCCCGCCTGTCCAGGGCAGGAGGCTTGGGTCTTCTAGGGAGCTAGCTGGCACACATGGGTAGGACCCTGTCCCCAAAGCATCACAGGACCATGGGTTTGGGCCTCCAGGCAGCATGCATTGCTCAAACCTGCAGGCTTCCTGGCACCACCATCCGCCTAGCTCCCCCTGCTAAGGGGCTGCCTGTCCTGTCCCTTCCCCCTCTCCCCATCCTTCCTAGGCCAGCATGATGGTATGCGGCAGAGAATGAGTAGTCTTGGCCATCTTTTCAGGGAGAGGTCCCTGGGGATCTTTTCTTGGGGACTGTTCCTGGAGTTCTGTTCCCCCAGTCCCTTAGCCTGCAGCAATAGGAACCCCGGGGAGCTCCCTCACTGAAAAGCTTACGTGCCTTTTCTGTGCAGAGCCCAAGACACAAGCCCTCTGCTCCAGTACAGCAGAGGTATTAGAGGGAGGTCTAAGAGGAATACGGTCTTGTGAGCATGGGCCCAGTCTGCAGCCACCTGCCTGTGGTGTGGCCAGCTGCCATGCTTGTCTACAGCTCTTGACAGAGGGGCATACTCCAATGGGCTCCATCCATGCCTGCTGGGCTTCCCTGCTGTGGGACTCAGCAGATGCATGTAGGGTGGAAGACGCTGGGAAAGCCAGCTGGGATCCTTGCCCCTGCCAGCAAGGGTAAGGGTGGGGGCCAAGGGCCAGCTAGGTAGGTATAATCCCAGCTAAGGCCCACTGGGCATGTGGGACGTGTCAAGGTCTGGGAAGATTGAGACCCCAGGCCAGCCTCGGACAAAGTGCCTGGTGTCCATGGGAAGAGGGAGGCTCTGCCCTAACAACCAGGATCTGGAAGAAGAAGGGGTGCTAGGAAGTGGCAGACCCCTCTTCAGAGGCAGGGGTTCTTGGCAGAGAGGCCAGCCCTGCCTGCTCCAAGGATTAGATCTCCACTTGGCCATGACTTCTGGAATCTCCACAGAGGGCCATGGCTGGGGGCAAATGTTCCTTCTTGAAGAATAAACAGAGGCGGAAGGCTTGGGTGGGAGCCTTTGAATGTCTCCCCTAATCAATGCCATCTTCTGGCACCCATCAGGTAGTATCCAGTGAAGAAGCGGTAGGTGGCATCTGGCGGTGACTTTGGAGATCATTTCCTGGTAACATCTGGGCATAGTGTTTTCCCCTGGGATACGAACCACACTCTGCATTTGGCTTTGAAACAGCAGAAGCGAGCGAACAGAGACGAGGAAGGGACCGGAAACTGTCCGAGCAGGTGGTGGGGGTAACTTAGGATCTATAGTCCTTTTTGCTGTAGGGTTTATTGCCCAGAATGCTATCGATCTCGTGGACGATGGAAGACGACAATTTTGGAAGGACCTGCATGCAAGGATAAGAGTCTAGCCTGGCCGGAAGGAAAGGTGGGTGACTTCCCAGTGTCTCATGGCTCTTACTCCATGCTATTTGCCGACCAGCTCCACTGGCCTCATCCTTTCGCCCACCTGGAATCCAGCCTTGGCTCCCATCATTAAGTCCTACCAAATCTTTTGTCCTGACCTTGGCCTCCACCCACACCAAGCCTTCTAAAAGCTCAGCTGGGGCCTGCCCTGCTCCATGTCAAACCTCCAGGGCTTCATCTCACCCATGTCCCTGCAGGCATGCAACTCCAGGGTCTGCCCCTCTGCTCCAGCCCTCTGACCTCCTGTTCCCCAAAAGGTTCTTTGCTGAGTGGCTGCATAACCCCCTTGGACCCTTTGTGTGTCCTTGAGTTTGTTTCAAAACCCCCTTCTTTACAAGGCCTCCCGGGTCTTGAATGCCTCTGCCCCTGCATTTCAGCATCTATGCCTAACTCTGGCCTCTCTTCTCACAGTGGTTGGCTGCCTTATGACACTCAAGTCTTACAATGTTTCTCTCTGTTCCCGTGAGGCACACTCTGAAGGAGCAGGGCTCTCTGCCATTGCATGCCCCATGCTCCTGGAAGGTTGCTCAGTGAAGCTGTCTATCCAGGAAGGCTGGCGGTACCTGAGCCCACCACCAGTCCCCTGTCTCACCTGTATTGCGCCAATGTTTTCCATAAGTTGCTCTGCATTGGAAGCACCCAGAAGCACAGAGCTGACACCCTCGTTCCTCAGGCACCAGGCTGTGGGGAGCAAGACCAGAGGTGAGGGAGGTACTCTCTGCAGGGCCTGCCTGGCTACCCCTGGGCATAGGTACTCAAGCTCTCATCTGGGGTCCAGGGATGCTTAGGATGCTCAGTAGTACTGGGTGAGAGTTTTCCCAAGGGGTATCTAGAAGAGGTTCTGGGGTGCTCCAGCCACATTGCTTCTGCTGGAGAGATGGCCCAAGTGCTCAAAGGTCCTTTTCCCATGACGCCTGGCTAGCTGACTGAGGGTCTAGGCTGGTGGCCTATCTCTTAAAAAGAGACCCAGATTCTAACTCTGCTCCAGAGTCCTTACCTTGGCCATCAAGGGGGTGCTGCCCAGGGTCCCTCACTTTTCTTCCCAGGGCCACTCTCTTTATTGTGGCTAGACACATTATCCATAGCCAACTGGTGAAGGTATAGCCCAGGCCCTCAGGGAACTTAGGAACAGGTGTCTCCCACTGTGCCCAGAGCCCATTACCTATGGCCAGCTGGGGAAGGGTGCAGCCTAGGCGCTCAGCGATCGCCTGCAGTTCCTTCAGCTTGGCCTGCTGGCGCCGACCCTCCTCACTCAGGATCTTGTCCTTCAACCACTGGTAGCCCTGGGGAGGGATGAGCTCCAGGTAAGGGAAGGTCCCTGGACCTCCAGATGCAGGTAGCCGTTTCTCCCCAAACATCAGCTCTGTTGTTGTCTGGCCGCATGCTTGCACTGGGCCAGACTTAGACCCTCCCATGTCCTGAAGGACAAGGTTTGTGGTGCACTGACCCGACCCTGGGCCAGAGGCACAGGGTACCTTTGGCCCTGAGGAGCCTCCTAGGACTCAGGCTGGAGGAGAGCGAGACCTAGAGTTGAGGCTCTAGGACTCTTGTCACCCAAATATGGTCACCCTCATGTCTTTGGGTGTACAACAAGGGAACAGGATTTGACTTGGAGCCAACTCTGCGCCCTAAGCTTTGAGGTCTCTGTGATGGTAAAGTGGGGAAATCACATAGGAACATAACAGAAGGCAACACTGGACCAGCCCGTACTGTGACTGCTGAACCACCCAAGGGGCTCAGGTGCGGAGGGGTGTTCACCGGTCTGCTTATCTGGGGTCTGTCCCATGGGTGGGAGGCCCTTACAGACTCGGAACCAGGCCAGAATCGGGCCTTTATCTACATTTTTTTGTTTGTTTTTGGTTTTTTCGGGACAGGGTTTCTCTGTGTAGTTTTTGGTGCC